AACACCAATAATTAAAAATATGCAGCCACAGGTAATATGTGGACAAAGTAAGAAAGCTAACAGGCTGAATTAAAACACCTCAACAAGTGAAACCATACTACTTCATATTCCCACTGAAGAAGCCCAGTCTGAAACAGATCTTTTACCAATATATGGAACTTAAATAAAAGCAACTGCATTTGCTGTTTAGCTGCCTACACAACAATCTGGCTAGGTTGTTACAGGAAAGAGCTGAAGTGAACCCACTCCTTAAGAAAACAAGAGCATTTGGGGGTTAGGCACATATTTCAACTTGCATATAAAGCTTTCATTCATTACAGTTAAACTGAGTATGTCAATTTCTTTTTACAGAAACGCATGGCTTCGTCACAATCAAATCCAAGCAAAACTGATTCGGCATTTTACCAAAATACGGGGGCTGAAGGGCATCGTTTAAAATGTGTAAACTTAAAATGATACGTTTGTGTCACGGAGTCCACAAAATGTCTTTTTTAAGTTTGAATAGACTGGAGGAGAAGAGGGAACAAAGGAAAGGCGCCATGGAGGGTAACCCATTTCCTGCACTGAAATGAGTAGAAAAATTGCCTCCAGGGTTAATAAATGTCTGGAATAGAATAGCGGTGAGGGGAATTAAGGTGATTGCAGACACTCAAAACACAAATATGAATGGAATACTAAAGCATGTGCCAACGTCCGCAAGACTACTAAACAGTTTGGTTTTTTAATGCCAGACAATTGTCAGTTGTGTCCATCACTGCTGGTCTCAATGCAAACGATCAACTGTAACTTTAGTCATGTAACTTTATCATTTGTCCAGCTTTACAAAAATAATTTTTTATAAGCAGGAAGAAAAGTAAATAAAATGGTTATAAATCATTCACTTGCGCTCCCCAACAAGCAGTCAAGTCTATTCTTCCCACCCACCTCGGAAGTGTGGGGGGGGGGCAACAAACACAGGTGTTAATGAAAGAAAGGAGAGGTGAAGAGCGAGGTGTTACTGTAACGTGTCTTCACTCAAGGCGGATCTGTTAAATGTAGTCCAAAAACAACACGATTATACGTGGTGGAGCACACCTAGTGTGTGCGTGCCACAAGCCGTGTGGGTTTATCAGCTATGCATACTCAGTGTTTCCCCTAGGTTGTCAACTTCAGGGGGGGAGGTCAGTCAGTACACATTTCAGGGGGGGAAACTGCGCACTTCATTAAGAGGGGTGTCTGGGGACGAACAGGTGACGAGCGATGACCATGTTTATTTAGGGTATCCATAAAAACTTTAAACTGCTCACCTTTAAAGTAAATGTGTGTGTTTGAGAGTTACAACGAGACCTGCAGTAGGGCTACAGCAGCACCATTCTGACTGGTGTTGACATAAGTAGGTGCTTATAATCAGTTTTAAAAAACACATAAGAGGGGAATAAATTAAGATGCTAAAAACCAAACAAAAATGTAAATAATAGTACAAACAAATCTTCTACCCTACAATAATAATATAATATAGTGTGGACTGAACTCTAGATGAACCTTACAAACAGTTATCCCCTCCGACACACACAAAAAACCACACATTCCTCTGATATATAATTCAACGCAGAGCCTGTTTATTGCGCAGGTATGCACAGAAATATTCCCGGCGGTGGCGGCTGGCATGAGACACGAGTAAATGGCTAATGTCAGTGTTTGTGACAGGCAGCCGGAGGCGGTGTTGGGAGGAGATCGGCTCTCTGACAAGGTTTGCCTCCATACGTTGCTCCCCCTCTCATTAACTCAACACTAACGCACGGCTTGCCTGCTGCGGAGCCAGGAGTCCATGAGGGGAAATAGGCTGGAGGGTGGAGGGGGGGGGGGGGGGTCTTGCTATATGTCTTTGTGTATTGGGATGGCATCACAGCAGTACGTGTGCGAATGCATTCATGTGTGTGTACCTTCTCCTCCGGGAAATAGGGCAGTCCACAAACTACTCAAAGTAGAGCGTTTTATTGTGGAAATGGGTGGAGACTTTTTTTTTTTTAAAGTATCCCGCTGTGTCGTAGATGTAAAGTGGGTGGAGGAGAATGCAGAGGTGAGGGGAGCCCACCCGCTGAGCGGAGAGAATTGATGGTGGCAGAGCTTTAACAGTTTCCAAGGGAGTCTCAACCTGCTCAGAAGCTGTGGTAAAGCAACACCAATATGAATAATTTCCATTTTTAATCTTGAGAGACAATAATGTCTGCTTTTTTGTTCTGTTGTGTGCATGTGTCTGTGTGAGGGGGTTCAGAGAAATAATAAAGCAGAAAAAAAACAATTATCTGATTTGTAAAGATATTGCTGTGCTGCACTTGGATGGTTACACCTGATCACGGCCCTTTAGAATGCAAGGGGAATGCAGCTGGAATCAATGACGTGTGGAGAAAAAACCCCAAAAGTGATATCCAATCACAAATGTGAACAGAGTCTACGAAGGCAGATGCTCCCTCAAACACAACCATCACCAATGGCAGAGTTGGGTCACTTCTTGTTCTCTACAATTCCTGCACCCACCCAACGCCTGCACACACAAGCACATGCATACACTAACTGGATGTATTGACTTGTCAAGTCACGAAAAAGAAGCTAACAAAGCTTTGCAGTAAGAGACTTCTGTCTTGAGTTGTGATACATCATCATTAAATTGAGCCCATATCAGTGTAAGCTACGCCGGCGGCTTTGTTGAGTATTCATCACAGCTGGCCAGCACAACGAAAACACGCTGTGGGACAAATTAATTGGAGAGGACAGTCAGGGTTGTAGAAAAACGCAAAGTGCCTGATATTAACAGAGCAAAGAAAGAGAAAAAAACAGGCGGGGAGGGGATCGCAAGTGAACAACAGCAATCAATCACAGCTCATCAGTGTGTACATGTAAGTAAGAATATAAAAAGACAAATTCACACGTGTGAAACAAAACAAACCTCGCTAGTAATCACCTCTCTTTGGGCTCACATGCTGCACTGTTGATTGACTTGTTATCAATCTGACTTCTACAGGAGTACGTGTCAACAAACACAAACATGCAATCACGTTGCAAACAACGCATTTCTTCTTTACATGGCGCTTTCTAAACCAGACTACAGCTGGAAGGCGGGGGAGCGTGAGACGACAGAATTGCTTTGGGACCATTTGAACAGTTAATAATCGTAAATATAAACAATCTGACAACTTTCAATCTCTTCTCTCATTTAATTTCATTACATTACATTACAGGTCATTTAGCTGACACCTTTATCCAAAGCAACTTACATTGCATTTTTAACCCATGGCTTATACATTTTTGGCCGGGGAGCAATTAGGGGTTCGGTGTCTTGCTCAGGGACACTTCAGCATAGGACATCGAGCAGCTGGGGCTAGAACCGCCAACCTTGTGGTACCCGGCGCACCCGCTCTACTCCTGCGCCACATCTCCTCTTTTTCTGCTTCAATCTCTGCTGCCAAAAGCTCTTTCTACCAATCCAGAATTGAATCTTCATTTTCTAACCCCAAAAAACTCTTTTCTATCTTCTCCAACCTCCCTGAACCCCCTAGTCCTCGTCCTCCCTGCCCCCTTCTTCCGGGTGACTTTGTCAACTACTTCACCAAGAAACTAGCTGACATACGCTCCTCTTTCTCAAACCCACCTACTACTACTTGCGTCCCACTGACTTCACCTCTATGGCCTTCGCTTCCCTCTTTCACCCCCGTCTCCTAACCAAATTCTTACCCTAGTAACCTCTGCCCGTCCAACCACCTGCCCTCCTCCATTCCATCACATCTTCTACAATCTATCGCTCCTGACCTTCCTTTCCTCCCCTGTCTCATCAACAATGCTCTGTTATCTGGATGTTTTCCCAACTCGCTGAAGGAGACAAGAGTAAACCCACTCCTTAAGAAACCTACCCTCAATCCTTCTGAAGAAAACAACTACAGACCGGTCCCTCCTATCTCCACCATAACAATCTCCTTGACCCCCGCCAGTCAGGCTTCAAGGCAGGCCATTCCACAGAGACAGCTCTCCTTACTGTCTCAGAGCAACTCCACACTGGTAGAGATGGTTGCCCTCTGTATATAGAAACCAGGGTTTAGATGAACATCCTAATAATTCCATGATTTAACAGTGACACAGCCCAGAGGTGCTATTGAAACGTTTAACAGTAGAGGGTGCTGTTGAGTTCTAGAAAGGGTTTCTGCAGGAAAGGAAATATATAGCTCTTGCTAACAAATGATTATGGTCTAATGTGAAATCAAGTTACATCCTGAATTTGGAATGTCTATGTCTTAAAAGACACAAGTTGTATTTATAAACATATATTCTGAGATATAATGTAAAATGTCACTCTGAGATATGTATCTGTACGCATCTATATTTGAAATATTAAAATGTCACAATTTTAGTTAAGGACTCAACCTGCCTGAATCACAAAATACACTTACAAACTCACTCACTAGTGATAAGAAACTATGCATTAGAAATATTGGTTTTAAAAATGTTTTAATTATTTTTTTTTAAATAAATCTTAGGTTTGGGCTTAAAAATGAAGCATTACCTTACCACATTTTTGTTAAACATAATCAATGGCTTCCTTTGTCGGCTTCAGAGGACACACTTACAAAACAGAGGGAAAAAAAGGTACATAATGACTCTCTTGATACATTTGACTGAAGAAAGTTCTTCTTGGGGCTTCTTGTCTACACGGTCACAGCCACGGAGTAACATAGGTGTTCTGCTGTATTGACAAAGTCTAAATGACATATAATGTAAAATGTCACTCTGAGATATGTCTGTCCCATGTCGAAGTGTCCCTGAGCAAGACACCTAACACCTAATTGCTCCCCGTTGCAAAAATGTAAAAAGCCATGGGTTAAAAATGTAATGTAAGTCGCTTTGGATAAAAGCATCAGCTAAATGACCTGTAATGTAATAAATGAACCAATATTTTCAGGAGAACAAGCACAACGGTTCAGGCCTACAAGTGGAAAGTGCAGCTATAGACCCAGGAAAGGGACACGAACCAGAATCTTTGCTTTTTCTTGCTCCTCGTGGGCTTTTCCTTTCTCCATGAGAAGGGCAGGGGTCAGCTCACCCAGGCCCTGGGTTCCTGCCGTCTCTCTCTCTTTCTGAGCCAGTCTGGCCAACTGCTCCTGCACCAGAGCCTGATGACGCTCAAAGCTGAATGAGGGGAAGATAAACACTTTCTTAACTTTCATTCAACCTCAAGTCTGCTAACCATACAAGTCCTTGTTCACACAAAGAGCAACCCAGTAAGAAATTCTGGTTTCTGTTGATCAACACGGACACCAATAGTTTTGGTGTGAAGCCTCCAAAAGCCAATATAACATGAAATAATAATTATCATGACATAAAATTATTGCTTTCCTAAATTGAACAATTTAAGTATTACATTAATATAAAATAAGAAACAAAATTTGGCAGAAAATGTATGTATATAAAATTGTATTAAATGTTCCTGTAAATTGCAGCGATAATGTATTTGGTTTCATAAAATGCTTATTCTACAGTACCTGCAACAACTGGTGACTTGAACAAGAATCCATTTGTCACTTTTATTTTCTTACACTGATAATAACATACTATCTACTCCGTCTAATATATTTTCATGAAACAGCATTATATTTGCAGTGGCTAAGAATTGTTGAAATCTACAGAGATTCAGGATAGTCTGTGAGCATTCTACCAGCATAGCAACATACCTGCTCTACAGGCGGAGTAAGTCACCAGAGGGAGTGTTGACAGGTCACTCTGCGTGTGTGTGTGTGTGTGTGTGTGTTCTGTATAAACATTGCACATTCGCATCAAGTGTCTATTACATTCATCAGTCAGCTCCATTGGCCATTAGTTGCATGTGTCAACACAGGGGGTCCAAAAGTATTATGGGATAGAATAACATTTTTGGCAGAAGTTGAACTAAAACTAATAACTAACTAATTCCAGGTTAGCCAATACAAATGCATAGGTTCATACAGAGTTATAACGGCTTTTTCACCGAATATGGCAGGATAACAACGAAAAGCGACAGTGACATTTCGAGAACCTACTTTTTGCGGAATTCTTCCTGGACTTCTGTAGAGGAGGGCCCTGTTGGTTTTGGACCTGGAAATAACGTGGGATACAATTCAGTACTATCAGACATTACAAGTAAAGGTTATTTGAGCTACACATTGGGACAGTTATCTGAAAAGAAATGTGTAGTCTTATTAGTATTAGTCTTATTACATTTGAGTCACTAAATCACACCCGTTTGGGTCTCCTTTATTATCCCTTTTCCACAACTTGGAACACAGCTGTTCTGTTCTTGTCAGTCCCTGTAAGAGGATGTGCTTGCTTATACAGTGGGTCTCACAATGGGATCTCTGTGAGACAAGAAAAGGACTTTTGGACTTACTTGGTGGTGGTTTGTGTGGCTTGGCGCCATCAGTCCCCTGAGAGTCCCTCATCCGCCGGAGCACATCATTTGAGAGCTGGACAGGGAAGGGAGAGTAAACACACACACACACACACACACACACACACACACACAAGCCCCTTAGTGTCTTGGAAAGCATCGGATTAAAGGCTCACAGGTTGAGGAGTCCATCACCTAGCCAGCTGAAATCATCTTGAGCAAGTCACTTAACATGCTGCACATGTGCTGCTGTACAGCTGTGGATGACATCTCTGACCGTCCGGAATAAGACAACGAGTAAGTATCTCCTACATGGCATGAAGAACACTATATGTATTTACTCTCCTACTGTAACGTTACAATGTGAAGGTTCACCAGAGAAATCCAATTGAAAATGATGTGTTAAAGAAAACTGCCCAACTTTAAGAGTCAACTCACATTACCTGTACATGCAAGGCCACAATTCCCTTAAATAAAAAATAGTCGTAAATCTACGCGACTCTGTTGACTAACGTTAGCAAATAAAACATGCTAGCAACTTAAAGCCGCTTCATTGGCTGCGTAAATGTCTGCCTCGTATTTAATTGTACGTCAAGGCTTATAAAGCTAACGTTAACTCAGCTATCCGAGGCGGAGAATAACGGTAACGCCATGGGAGCGCGTCGAAGAGACGGTGCGCGGGTTCACCTGAGGACACGTGACCCTTTCAGTGACCCTCAGACCGCCGCGAGACGCCTTACGTTACTAACGTTAGCTAACGTTAACCCACCATTAGCTTCAGTCGCCACGTCCGACACGGTAAACAGCTGTAACTTTGGCCCTCTGGACTTGAGCGATAAGAAGAAAACGTTACGCTCTGTAAAACGTTACCTTCACTCCTTCCATTACGGTGACCTTCTCATTCTCGTCGAGTCCGAACGAGACTTTCCTGGACGTGCTGCCGTTACCTCCCATGTTCACCAGCTGTCAGTGGGCTCCTTGTTGGAGAAAAACAACAAACACGCGTTTCGGGTAATGGGACGCAGACATAAATGTGAGCGAGAGAGAGAGAGGCTCGAGTCGCCTCCACAGCGACCGGTGCCTGAAATAATCCAATGTCAAACTGCCGCTGCAGTATCCTCTTATCTCATTGGCTGGGTAAAATAATTTGCTCTCGTGACTCATAGACGCGTGAATTAAAGGGACGATGGGAATTGTAGTTGAACCAGTCCAACTAATGTGAAACGTTTAAAGACAAACACAATTTAAGGAAAGAAACTGCAGTCTACGAGTTAAACAGAACAATGCACACAAGAGAGGAAGTCCGACAATGGAAAGTAATGAATTACCAAAAAACAGCCAGTGCATGGTATGATGTTCAATCGCTGCAAACAATTGAGAGTCCATGGTTTATTCTGTTGGTCAAGGAATGCTTTAAAATGTTACATTAGTAAGGGCTGAATGTTATACAATCAATGCATTTAAAAAGGCAAAATTACAGATCATTTGCAAAATGATTTCATAATCAAAAATCTATTGAGAGAGGACCTTGATAATAATTGCATATTGTCAACTGCATGTAGTGATTCAGCAAACTAACTTCCTGATCACTATTCTAACTCCCAAGTTATACAGCAGTAATCACCGGCACTTAAATTTGAATAGATCATATTTCTATGAGTCAGGTAAATACTGTCATTACTTTGATACATACCAATTATGTACAATGTTGTTGCTTTAAAATGATGACAAAATACACGTATCTCTATTTGTCCTGCATCCAAGTGACCACTATCTATGAATATGGCTGGCTTTAATAGACTAAACCATTCATACCAAAGATAGAGACTTTTCAGGGAACACATGCATTTATCATTCTTTCTTGGTAGGAGAAAGGAAATGTTTATGAAGAATACAGTATAATATTTCACTGTTACCAATAGATGTAAAATAATGTATTTCACCAGCTGAACAAAGAAGAAAAAAAACTTGACAACCAAAATTGATAATAGAGGAAAGTTTGCTCTGCCACAGTCCAGTAGCTTTCTCTCGACACTGTCTTATAATGAACATTCTCGGAAATACCAGGTACCTGAGCCTCTCCTAATATGTAGATAAGATCTATTTAATTACATTGTATAAATACCATGATTTGAAACCATAACATTTCGCAATATTGTTTATGGTATAATTTGAGCACCTTAAGAACACTCTGGAAAATCCAACCACGGGACAAATAGATATTGGCATAAACATAATAATAATAATAATAACTAAAAGCTTTGGATCAGCACCCCTGTTAAAAGCAAGCAGAGCTGAGGCACATATGCCGATATGGAATGAGGGAATGTCTAATTTGGAATGAACAAAAAAGTTTGTGGTTCAAATCACACACACATAACAAGTCATTCTAAAAGGGCTGTGAAGCTAGCAAATGTGCCTTCAGTAGCAGGAATGATTCAAATGTATACGAAATTAAAGCAAAAGTCTGAAATAAATAATAGCGGAAACAAAAGACAGATTAAAAAAAAAAGCTCATAACTGAGATCCAAATGGAGATTCGCATAGGTGTTTAGTTAATTCACACTGGAGAGCATTACAGATGGATTGTGATCTTGAGGGTCAATGCCATGCCTGTACCTAGGTAATGCAGATTTTCTTATCATATTGCAGTGGCAAACATCACACAATCCTTTCCGTAAGACAGAACTCCTTTCAAAATGAACCAGCGCCGGTCGTTTCCCTTTGTAAAGAGTCAGCCAGTTAAGCCACACATCTAATACAGGGCAGTAGACAAAGTGAGTTTAGATGCTGTTACTCAAAGCTTTTAGTTGGAATGTACAGATGAGTAATGGCGAATACAAATGTCCAATTTGAAAAGACTTTGATACTTAAAATGGGGTTAAAACTTAATTATTGGGGATGGAGCAGTCGTTGCTCGATGCGGGAATGACAGAATATGAGGTGAGCCGAATCAGTCGGCGCCCACATCCACGCACGTTGAACAAAATCCATACGGCGGCACAATCAGGAACGGTACTCATAGTGTGACGCCAAAGCAGCAGAGCACGCTGGCAACAGTGTTACAAAAGCAGTAGCTAAATCTCAGGCCTCCAGATCATTGGCTCTTTAACTTATCTGGGCCTCAAAGCAAGACCAAGATCAACAGTCCTTGGTGTCCAACTTCTTTGTTTCTTTTTTTTATTTGGGCGCCCCTGCATCACGCACGCACAAAATCTCAGTCCAGCTGTATAATCTGCTTTGTTCTTCCATTCTCCTCTTTGTTTCATTCACACATTGACAGGTCTCCAGCGGTCAGCGTCAACGCCGTTAATGCTGCTGGACCCATAGGGCCCGGAAGCAACATCATCCAGGTACGCTCCCACCATACGAGAGCTGCCGGGACCAGAGCCGTCAATCTGGGTGGAGGAGTAGAACAGGCCCTGGTCAGTCAGCTCCTTACGGCCAATGGTTGTAGCGACAGTCGGGGGAAGGTGGACGTCACTTTCATCCGGCTCATCCAGCTGTGACTTGTAAGAGAACAGGATCTTGGGCTCTGAACTGTGGAGAAGAAGAGAGCAGTGAAATATGGAAGAAACAAGTCCAACTGTTGTAAGCGCAAATGTAGAAGTGTCTGTTCCGTTTTGTTACACGATTCCTTGTACAAACCCAAAGAAGCCCTTGAGGAATGTGACATAAATGAGCGGCGCGAAGGTAGAGAAGTACAGGAAGGTGGTGATGTCCACACAGCTGTTTCACAAAACACAATAATAAAAAAAGACAGGTGTCACACTGTGAACAGTCTTATTTAAAGTTAGAAGACATAAGGACACTGCGGCTTCAGTAGATACAGAAAGCACAACCAAAACGTTTCTGCCAAAAGAATTCAATCCAAAACATCTGTGCACTTTATTTTTTAACTTTTTTAATATTTTTAACTTTATTCTCTTATTTCATACTAACCCATAGCCTTATTCTACTAACCCATCGCATTAGCATTTCATTTTATTTTATTACTTGTGCACTGCTGTCTTGTTGTCTATTGTCTGTTTTGTGTCTAGTGTTACGCACCAACCGCCAAGACAAGTTCCTTGTATGTTTGACATATTTTGGCAATAAATGATTCCTGATTTCCTGATTCCTGGTTATGTTCCCCATCTTACAGCCGCCCGAAACTCCCCCAGGATAACAATTCATCACCCCGTAATTGCAAATTCAACTAAAAGAAGGTTTAAAAATATCCCCCAGGTAAATACACATTTTTTGAAAAGCATGTGCTGCATTAATCCACCCTCTTATGGGGATAACTGCTATGAAGCCAAAAATCAATTAAACTTATGGATAATAATAATAATACTGACCAGAGTCCCTCTATGATTCCAGCACATAGCAGGGCACTGCCAAGGCCCTGCACGAGGTTCAGTAAAGACAGGATGCCGGCATACACATAGAAACTCCTCTTTGCTTGACAAAAGAAGTAAAAGAAATATTAATAGGCAGCAGAGGACACATTCTTTCAATTAATGCAATCAGCCAGTGGTAAAAAAAAGTGCAGAACATCCATGTATAGTAACATGGAGTACATTATACACAATGCACTGTTACTAATTTTAATTTTAATTTTAATCTGTTTAATTAATCTGTTTGAATAAAATCCGTAACTTACACGGAAGAGATATCCTCTCCCTCACTGGAGTTTTAGGCAACACCACAATCAAAGAATACACCTAAAAAAGGATTACATCATCAATCTACTGCTGGACATCAGTTATCAGGTATGAATTGTATTTCATTCCTCACGCTGCTACTGCTGCAGAGTTGTAAGTTACTAACCAGGAAGAAGAAGCAGGAGCTGGCCAACCAGAAGTGCCGTCCCCCGTGACCGTAGATGTTGAAGTCCTCAGCGGACAGGTGGCTGTCAGGATACAGGATCTCTAGTGTGCCCTAGAACAACAAATCATTTACTCGGGTTGAATTCAGGATGACAACTTACCAAAATGTCCCACAGTGTCCTATCATCAGCCACTACCTGTGTGATGGAGTAGCCCAGAGCCAGCACAGCGGTGATGGCCAGCACTCGCTTTATGCTAGATTTGCTCTCCAGGTGACCTTCACATGAATAAAGAAAGAGGCTTGAGAGAATATAAAAACCATACAGGCATTCAGTCCGGAATTATTAACTGAGCCTTTAAATAAATGACTTGTGTGAAAATAGACCGAAACACCACACGGGTTCAGAGACAACAGTAAATGAGAAATGAAACTAGCAGAGCTAACTGACCGAAAGCCAGTCCCAAGATGACGACACTGAGCTCAATCGCCAGCAGGAAGAAACGTGTGATTTCCCACAGCACCTGGAGAGACAACAGACATGATGAGTACCCACTGCGGCAGAGCAGACCGAAATAGAAATCAGGTCAGATTATATAATCATGTCTATGTTTTTTCATTTGCAGCAATCACAGTCAGGGACACTCTGAACTCCACTAGGGATCGGACTGGTATGTGAGGAATGTCAGCCATGTCCTTTTGGACATGAACGCCAAGCAAAGTCATGCTGAAGTTCATATTAGCCGCTCTCAGTATTCAATAAAAGGGGAGATGGTGACAGCCATTTGGGTCCAGGGAAAGTACTTATGCTACAAATCTGTCATTTACTACCAGTGAATAGAAATGAAGAAAAAAAACTCCAACAAGCTCACATTTGCGTGACAAAGTTACCAGTGTTGAATCTACTTCCTTACTTTGTCTATGATGGTAGCAGCGCTCGACGCACTAACGGTCATGGACACCACGGCCCGGGTGATTCCAACAGCCGCTACAACAAAGACCTAGGAAATAACAAAACCAAACATGTTATATTATAGACAATAATCTGTCTTCTCAACCCAATAAAAACATTATTGGGTTGAGAATAAAGAAATATTCACTATGATTACTATTGATGTTCCACTAGTGTGTGTCATACCAGCAAGTAAAAGGTGACAAAGATGGGGCTGGAGGTTTGTCTGATCTTTGCCCGGGCTGAGGGCAGCTTCCACATCAGGAATACGAAGAAGGCCACATTGGGCACGAGCAGTAAAATGTCCCAGAACCGCACCCTAAAGACAGAGAGGAATGTGAGGAGGGGTCAATACAGAACTTTTTAAAACTATAATAGTACATTTTGTATTTTTTTTGCCATGTTGCACTTTGTTTAAAAGTCTCCAACATTATGCAACAATTTACCTGGAGTCTCCAATGTCCTCGTACAAGACTTGAAGACACTTGTGCGGCTTTGAGATGTTGGCCTCAGTATCGGGTTGCCATGTTGGGAATGTTGATGTGTTCTCAAAGGTTGTGGGTGAAATACTGCCATTGTATTGAGCAAACCTAAGCACAGCAGTCACTGTGGCTAGCATGGTGTCGGGAACCCTGGGGGGGACAAATAAATAGTCTGCTTTTGTTATGGAAAGTCCTCTACCTGCATACAAGGATGTATAAGGCCATGTAATAGACTTAGCTCTGTTTAAAAACCGATTCCTACACGTTACCATACACATTATGTGACTAGATTGACCTCCATCTCGGCCATGTGTGTTGTTGAATTTGAAGTCCCAAAAAACTCACAATAGGGGGGGGGACGTACACAGCGTTGACCCCGTTAGCGTCGATAAGGGGAATGGACGTGATACAGTAACGGTGCATTGCTTGACGTTGGCTATAAACAACATTAATAAGATAAGAAGAATAACTGAAAACAGCTCTTGCTGGAGTCGGGTTGAGGTGGTAACGGCCAGTTAGTTAATGATAACGTAATGATGACAGCCCCATAACAGGATTTGAGCATCTGGTTTATCACAATACTTTCATTTTAGCGGAGGCGATATCAGACGTCTGCTAGCGCTGCTACTTACAACTTGCTAATTGCGGTCTCGGAGGAAGCTTGTTTGTCAAATTAAAAACGATCTCATTCGAACTACTGTCAGACACAAAGACAGCCAAGAACGACAATATGTAAGTATGAGAAATAGCCACCACGTTTTATAAAAGCCCACTAGCTCCAGTTAGCATCAAAACAAACGTGATACAAATGCAAGTGCGATGCTGTCGACCCGACGTAACGACAGCTTTCACTGGTACAAATACAAACATCTTACCAATTCAGTAGTACGACTGCTGCAAAATGTTTAAGAAGTAAATTAAGCGTATGCTTGATACGCTGTCATACACGCTGTAATCGATCAATAAATTGATCAGCGATAAAGGACATTGCTGTTGCTGTTTCGTTAACAATTTTTCCCAGTGAGGTCAGCTGACACTCTCACCAAACAGGAGGGGGAAGTCTCGCGAGGGAAGTCTCGCGAGATGGAACTGTGACGTAGTTTATTGCTGTTTACCTGACGTTAGATAGAAGAGGCAGGCTGAGGGATTTAGGTTTCGTTTTTTATATTTATTTAAGCCAAGGCAAGTATTATACAAGTTAGGGGAGATTGTCATCTTCTTATGTAATACTATGAATATGATGAACACATGATGAAGCTTGGAATAGAATACCACTTTTTCACAGAGGACATTTTGACCCTCCACAAAAGGAAAGGTGCAGGTGCAAATAATTCAATTGATGATGTTTGAACTCCATTTAGCTGCTTTGATTTAGGACCCATGGTTTTGTTATGTTAGCACTCTGATACTTAGTGTAACACAGGAATATAACAAAGCCCCAATTAATGTTATTTGTTTTTGAGATGGACATAAAGATGGAAATGAAAAAACATAAAACACAATATATGGCACATTATTTTGCATGTTGCAGGCACACTGCAACAACAGTCACATTTATATTTATTATATATGTATATTATATGTAGATTTTAGAAATGATCATATGTAATCACACAAGCCTCACACATATGAGGCAAAAGTGTGTGGGTGATCAGGTATCAAGACACAACATAAGACTTATATAAAATAAATGTTCTCTTTCTGCATCACATTTGGTAAGGATACACAGTTGATAGAAATACAGTTCTGATTATGAATAAATAGTGACACGGCCTTGAGGGTTCCCTGACATCATCCTGTAGGCCAGGCGCACTGGTTCAGTCAGGTTAGCCTTAAACGTGTACACGTGAGTCTTCCCGCTGCTGGGGCTCACGTTGTAGAAGCTCAGCCTGTGGGTCTTGAAACTCAGTCTGATCTCCAGCCTGCGCGACACTGTGGTCTTCTTCAGCGGCACATCGTGACCCTGCTCAAAGGCCGTGAGCAAGTTGTTGAACCACATCAGACACCAGGAGCATCGGCTGCTTTCCACAGCCGAGGGCAACCCGCTGCGCGCTAGCTTTCCGCTGTAGCACAAACCAACGATCCACGGGGAGCCATCGAGCTCCATCTCCCAGCAATGTTCGCCGTCATGGAAGCTCTGGCTGCTGAGGACCTGGAAGAAGTTGGTGAACCTCTGGGGCGACGATGGGTAGGGCTGCTTGGTAGTGCTGAAAGTCACCGTCTTCAAGTCCCTTGAGAGGACCAGGTTGGGGTGGGCTGTGTCCGGGTCAAAGGTCACCTCTGAAGGGTTGATGGTGTTTCGAAGGGAGCGCTGGATCTCGCCAGATCTTTCCCGAAACGCGGCGTTCATTTCCTCCAGCTTGGGACAGGCGCGTGCAGAGTTGAGCTTCGATGCCACGTGGTGGTCGTCCTCTTCTCCCACCGGCCTCGCCATCAGTTCCGCGAAGAGTGGCTGTAGAGTCTGAAGCTCGTCGCGAAACGCAGCCTCATCGTCCTCAGTCAGGAGGGACTCCGCCCTGAGCATCGCTTGTCTCAGCTGATTCGTCAGGTCGGCGGCTTGGCTGACCCGACCGCCTACGCTCGCCTCGCCCGGACCTAGCTCTTCTTCTATAAGCTGCATCACCTGCGCGGTGTAGCTCCGCGACAACTCCGCTATCTGCCCTAAAAGTCTGCGCGCTTTCTCTCTCAGCTGACCGTTAGCAGTGGACAGCTCCAGCTCGCATTCCTTCTCCTTCCTCAGCACACTCTCGGACATCTCCAACTTGAGGCTCAACTCTGTAACTTGAGAAGCCATTCTAAATTTAGGTTCGTCCATTTCAGTCTTGCCCTTGCCACCCCCTTGTTGTTGACCCAACGGAAAGGACCGCTCCGTGGATCCAGACCCACTTTGAAAGCCGTGCTTTCCCTCACACACTGCGCCCTCCGCCCGGCTTGCTCCAGACGGTTCTGTGTCCTGGTGGCTTTTTGTGTTTGATTTGTCTGTAAGAGAGTTACCAACCCTCTTGATCTTTGAAAGGTCCCCATCAGAAGGGTTGCCAGTGGAATTGACTTTCCCAGCATTGGCTTTGTAGGTCTCTATGATGCTGCTCATTTTGAGGCTTTTCACCAAGGCGTTGGTTCCCTGGTACTCTGCCTGGCATTCAGGGCAGCTGTGTTGGTCAAGGCCTTCTCCCATGGTCTGAAGGCAGGCAAGGCAATAGATGTGACCACAGGGAAGAGAAGCGGGCTCCGAGAAGAGCTGTAAGCAGATGGGGCACGTGAGCTCTAAAGCTTGTGGATGGTCCATTTTTGAATACCTTCTTTCAGTCTCAATCACAGACAGGACGACAGGCCCTAGAAAGACAGAAAACTCAGAGTAAGACATCAGAAATAAGCATAGCTTATCGTAGAATGTTGGCTGATTTATTTAACTTTGTTTTAGTGGGAACTTTATATATTTTGAGTTGATAAAATGTGCCAATGAAATAGGGGATCAGGGGAGGGATTATAATAAACAATATTAAACTGCTTTACACCAGTTTACACCAGTATAACAGTATAAAACTATTTTTCTTCAGTGTTAAACCACCTTACACCAGTATTAAACTGTCTTAACACAGTATTAAACCACCTTACACCAGTATTAAACCGCATTGAACCAGTATTAAAGCATCTAACACCGGTAGTTAGGCGGTACGGTGGTGTGGTGGATAGCACCGTCGCCTCACAGCAAGAAGCTTCTGGTTGTGCCCCCCGCCAAGCATTACATGGATGAACACAAGTATTACACTTTCTTGAACCAGTTTTACCCAGTATTAGATTTTTACTAGTATTTGATTTACACCGACATTTGCCTTACACCAGCAGAGTCCTCTATCGAATAGCAAATAATGAATAGACAACATATATGGTAAATTATATCATCTTGCTTTCATATAACGTTGTGCTAACGGCTCAGGTGTGTTCAGTTAATGTTATAACCAAAACGGGGTATCTAAAAAACAAATTCTGCGCCGAAACGAAATCTAAAGCGAATAGTGAGTCATAAAATAGCCAACAAGTGTAAAAAAAAAAGTATTCACTAACTTTTTAACTGAAAGGAATCTGCTGCAGACTGCAACAACAAATAACCACAAAAATACCGAGAACGTGACGTAATGCATCTTTGCGCCGTAGCAGGACGAACGTGCAAACTATAGTCTTTGTATGCGAGTGATGTGCGAATTAACGTAAATCAGTAAAACGTACCGACCAAACTCAAACAAAGTTCGATCACTGTGTGTTTAACTTCGGTGGTTCTGGTCGGTCTGGACTAACTCGTCGCTGTAGTTTCGGTTTCCAGCGAACATGATCTCCATGTGGCCGAACCGCTCACGATCAAGTCAATCGCACTTCCTATACATGGGTGGATTAATTCTGCTGCAGGCCGACATAGTTTGGGTTTGCATTTACTGACTCTGCTTTGTTTAGAAAATAATGATCGGGCAGGCATAATTATTAATGCACTCATTCTCAACAACCAACCAGGGATAGGTATCGATTGTTGGTCACTAAAAGAGAAAAAGCAGGTGTTAAAGGAGGCCTACCTGTTGCTGCGCTGTGCTGCGTCGAGTCTTCCTGTTCAGGTGAGTGATCGCAAACGCACTGACGCATGATCGGGGTTATCTGTCCGCCTTTCGGAGGCACTTCATCTCCCATTGGAGCTCAGTGAGGTCGTCCATCTTGGGCATAATGTTTCAGCCTATTATATTAACTCCCATCTCTTCCGATTTTGTTCTCTATTGCAAAACATGCAAATTCAGCTTTCACTACATAAATGAGTCGTGTTCGTGTGGACGCATATATTAGTCAGCTCACATTAACACTGGAGGACCAAAAAAAACAGATCGTTGTTGTAATTTCATTTATTTATATCTCCACACAAATGGACGATGAACGATAATAAATATAACAGTCATTATTATCGTCCAAAAGGGCAAAGGCACAGTGCCAGACTAAACCACTACTGTGCTGGTTTGTTGACACTGCTCTGGAATAACAGTCTTTGTCAGTCTGACGTGCTTCTGCTTTCACGTACAAACACTTCTACACTTGGTAGGGCATTAACTGAAAAGAAGATATGTGAAATGTGCACGTTGTAGTTTCACATTCATCTTACAGTTCAACTTTGTATTGAAATCCTTAGTATCAAGAAAACTGTACACAACCGACTATTGAGTACCAGCCATCTGCAGTCTTTGATTCAGCAGCAGCTTCCCATTCAAGTGTTACTTATTTTACATTATAACAGAGTAAAAGGCAGTCAGGAAAATCTGTTGTGTTTGACAAAAATACGTACTACTATAAAACAGACTTTAAAAAAAAGTAAATACATTCTCACACCAGATTTGTTTCTTGGTACACGTAGCTATAAATATCCCCTCCCCCTTTGACGCTCCTTTGCCAACTACACACACGGCTGTTTTTACCGCTGAGTGTGCGCCTGAGTCTGCTGGAGCTTTCAGCGTGAGCTCCAAGGAGTGAAATGAAACGGTCCAGGTCAACCGGAGAAAACCGGCAATCGCTTTGGTATGTGCTTGATTTAGGCATCTCAAGTAGATTTTTGGTAAGCTTATGAAATTAATAATTCACTTTAAATTCATATCTTGGAATGACCATGACACAGGTACACACAATCACAAAAACAGTCCTAAGGCGTATCAGTCCAGCTGTGTCATGTTCAATGTAGCACTTTTAATCAGGACTGCAAAATATTGTTTCAATAGTCATAGTTTGCAAATAAGCAGCAAGTACTGCATGTTTTGTACACATTGAAACATTGAATTCTTAATGACTTGATTTAATTTGTCTTTGTCTTTTTAAGATGTTCCAGTTTATTCAAAAGGCAAAAAAAATCCATAAAATTGCTTGGAGAAAGAGAAAACAAAGAGTACATGTGCTTGCTTTAAAACGTGTGTGTTTGGTACACGTGTGTGTGTGTGTCTACAATAGTGTATCCAGGTCGAGTTCCGGCAGCGGCTCCTTCCAAAAGGAGAAACTGCTGTACTCGGGACAGTCCAAAGCAGAGGATGTGCTGCTGCCGCCCACCGACAGCATGGGGAAGAAATGTTCCACCAACTCACTGAGGTGGCTGTACCTGCAAAACACACACACACACACACACAGGGGGACAATGACTTCATTAATAATGCACACATGTGAAAGTTAAAAGCTGCGTTTATATCGGCTTAGGGCCGGCGCATGCTTCTGCATCGACGCACACGTTTCAATTCTTCGTTCCAAAAGGCTTGCGTGTGTTGCAGAGCAATTCACCGCCAGAACAACAGACGGAGTAACGTGTTTTTGTTGACGACGAGCTAGAGAGTCACGTCTATTTATTAATTTATTTATTTATCATCCCGTGCATCGCCACTGCTGCTTTTCATCGCGGACACATTTGTCCCGTATTTTCCTCCACAACTTTGTGCACCTCTCGACCGGCAAACCGGCGTTTGCGGCGATCTCCCTCCATGAATCCAACCCGCTTCTACAACCCACCAATGACGGCTTGTATAAGCGGTCATATTTGCGCATTTCTTCCGACAAAAGTTCTTTAATCTGATCCATTCTCTCGTAAACATTCTTTGTTTTAATAATGGCGGTATCGGGCTATGAAAACGGAAATGTGAGACTGAGAAGGACGTAGTTAGCAGACCAATCACAGCCTGGTGCGCTGCGCGAGGCTTGTGTCGTTGCTTTCGACGCAAGCCTAGAAAAATGGGTCGACACACACAAGGACGCAAGAAGGTGTGAAAAGGCAGGCAAGGGACACGCAAGGGGGTCTTGCGTCTGCGTCGCTCTGAAAACGCAGAAGCATAAACTAGGCTTTAGTGACAGCGTGGTGTTTAGACAAGCTGCTTCCCCATTATAAAATTAAAAATCGCTTGCTGTACATGCCCACTTCCGTTATTCTTCAATATTTGGTATTATTTAGAGGTGAACAGTTAGGAACCTTCCACAAGAAATACAAGACTATTCAACCATGTGGCTGTCAGCCAATTCATTCTCATTGGGATACCTGCGCCGATGTTTACCGGTGTCCTTTTGTAAGAATTCTCCCCCAAAAAAGTGGAAATGAACATAATTTCTGCCTTCTGTCACACTTACGAAGACTTGATGACTTTAGTCCTCTCCTGGATGAGCTCTCCTTTTGGGTTGACGGTAAATAACCTGGTATCAGGCACCCCTACCTGCTTATAGGCAAATGCATCCTGCAAAAATGACAGGCAGCAAACCAATACAGTTACACACATCTTTGCAGTATCTATGTGCACAAGGCTGCGGCTGTTTTAGTACTGATAAATCATTTACCACATCAATCATTAGCCAGTGTGTTATATCCAACAGCAAACCTCACATCTCAACTTCACACTTCATTACTAACTGCTGGAGTATGTTACAGGAGTAATGACTTAGTATTAGTAGTAATAGTATGACTTAAAAACATCTAATAGCGCGTGGGTCTCTCCTATAAACAGGCGTAATCTGTGTGTGGCTCTCTCACTGCCACATATGCAAACTTAGCACCTGGAAAACCCAGTCTGACAACGGACGTGTTACTGACGCTTAGTGGTAGAGCATTGCTTACGTTGGTCCTGTTGCCGAACGCCGCGTAGAAAGGCTTTCTCTGTGGGTTGAACAGGTCCTTGATGTCACTGAGGCAGGCAATTTTAAACACCTCCGGCTTCTTCTCAATAACCTCTCTGCACAAGTAAGGAGAGACGGTTCATGGTCAAAGGTTTGGTGTTTGTCTTCTTGCATTCACTTATGAAGATCTCACAGGTTAACATCAGAGTATCTCTCGCATATGTAGAGGATTTACCACTAGAGGTCAGAAGGACATTACATTCATTTTCAAACTTTCAAACATTTCACACTTATATCCTCCGTTCTGTTAATTAAATTCCTTAAGGCTACGCTATGGTGTACGATTAGGTCACTATGTGGAAAGTAGTAGTAGCAGGATGCTATTGTTACCGGTGTAGTGCTGAAAAGAGGCTGCTAGGAGCCAACAGCACAGGGCCTTGAGGGAGGACGATGCCTTTGTCATTCACCCACTGAAGGTAGTCCTTAGTAATGGCAGCCATACCTATGGCCCGTGCTGAACAATACAGGAACTTATAGCCATTTCTGCAAAGAAAAAAACAACAATTTCCGCATTTAAGTTGAATAAAAAAACAAATATGTGTTTTCCACTTCTGCTTGCAATTAAAAAAAATCTACAGCATTTATCTCCGGAACACTTTCAAACACAGAGTTGTGCTGCATCCTGCATCCTTAGATATGTGCAAGAAAAGATTAGAAGACTCAATCTTTTTTCGATAAACTAAACAGCTGAGATCGTTTCAAAAAACTCAACATCAGACACCAGAAAATGTGCAAACATCTGGCGATGCAGATTAAACTCTGCTTCAACTAGAATGACGTCAGAATGAAATCACCAACATTTTGTTTTTGCTTGTTATGGTGCGAGTAATGCTGTGAAGGTTCAGCAAGACCCACAAACTGTTCAAAGAAAATGTTTTATACCCTTTTCTAAAGAAGTGACTTTACATACTGGTGTATTTTGTGGTACAGTTTGGCGATGCCTTTGTGTGTCCAGTCTTTTCCAAACTGAGGTAGAATATGACCCAGAGCATCAGACCTGCGGGAGACAGACAGCAAAGACCACTCTTCTTACCGTATGTTCAAACAACGTTCTGTCATAGCGATCAAGGCGGTTGCTTTTACTTTGTGATGGTCCCGTCAATGTCCGATATGATGACGTGATCGTCCCAGTTCCACAAGTAGATGGCAGCCTCACAGCGACAGGTGCCTTGGTACTGCGTGGTCACACTGAAAACCACTTTGTTGGCTCCTTCACGCAGGTTTAAGTGCTCCTTGTCATGAGAAAAGAGAGTCAGCTTGGCGTTAAGCGGACCGTGTCGTCATCCTTTTTTTTAAAGAAATGTGTGTGTGTCTCACGATCTGCTTGGAGGTCAGACGCAGAGATTTGCGGTAAATCTGGGTGATACACTGAGTGACGTTCAAGGTTTCCGTTGACAGGCTGGAAGGAATCATGGCTTTGCGCCCAAGGCCTGCCGCCTCATCGCTGTCAATGTCGTCCAGCGTGCCTCTGGAGAAACAACAAACATCCAAAAGCACTTTGTGTCAGAGTTATATTTATATATTTCTCTGCCTGCTGCCTCATTGCTGTCAATGCTATCCAGTGGGGCTCTGGAGAACCAACTCAAATCTAGTGGCATTTTGTGTCGGAGCTGTATTTCAGTTTCTGCACATTTATTGATATAATCGATCACCCTGACATAAATAAATAATTTAGTGATTTATACAAGAAAATAAAAATAAACGTGGTGGTCTGAATTATTGATTTGTTGCCTTGAAATTTTATTTGATTCAACACTGATTTATTGTTGATGTAATTATTTTTGAGAATATTTATAGTAATGTAATACATGGAGAAGGCTTTGGTACACTCTGTTGGTGCAAAGGTTAAACTACACTAGCAGAGTTTGAAATAATAAATATAATACTGCATGTCTTTTTTATTTTATTCCATTATTATTTTTCAACCAATCAATCAGATATTTATCAGGTTTTGTAGCTATTGTGACAAAACTTCCAAGTAAGTAACAAATACTTGTAGAGTAGAGTTCTCTCGACCTGGGCTGCTGTGTGTTTTCTTTTTTGTGTCCACAGACAATATTTCAGCAGTTGTGACACAAATCCCAATAGAATTCTTAGATTGGCATTTGTAGGGGGAACAAATGGAGCTAAAAGGAGTCTTCTGCTGCTAGTGGTGAGCTACAAACAAATGTAACTATGTTGGGCTTCAACATGTCCCGTCATTCATATTAATGTTTGCAGCAATAAGTGTGAATGTCCTCAAGTGCCCCCGAACATTAGAGAGAACAGCTGTGGACCAGCGGGGCCGGACTCCAACTGAAGCACAGCATGTGTGCGGGTTATTAACTTGTGTGAAAAATATTCCCAGTGAGTTGACTTACTTTACTGTGGACGCATCACTCGCCAGCGACTCCCCCTGCTCCCCTTTTGAGTTCTTTTGCTAAAAACGAGCAGATTATATTATCAGTTACACGCTCATCAACATAACAGACTTTCTCCCCTAACTCTTCACTTCTATCTCTACCACAATTCTTCTTCTTTAACCAACCCCAGTTAAGCACTGCGTAGTACTGTATATAATCACAGGCCAAATGGCATGCAGGCACTACATCACTACAGTAAACATTAGCAGGAATTCCTAAAAACGAACCTGGTTATTGTCCATGTCTCGCTTCCTCCAAGAGAGCCACCAGCGTCCGGACTTTTTAGGCATCTTGTCCTTCACCAGCTGATCTATTGCACTCTATTGGACGCACACAAAACAAGGTAACGCTTGTAGAAATCCGAACATCGGATTCAACCCCGATCTCATCCGTCTCGTGCTGTTAACTTTGCAATCAATACAAAAATGAATTGCTAATTTATGTTTACAACTGGAAATGAAGAAATCCACATTAATTTAGATCCTTAATGGCCGGTGCAGAACAAAAACGATACCTTCGGTAGGCTTTTCTGGAACGTTGTCATGGACAAGACCATCGGAGCAGCCACTGCCCAGTTGTAATAGCTGTGAAACAAAGTAAATGAAAGCAGAGTGAAGATCATGGAAACAAAATGAAGGTTTTAAAATGAACATGTGACATCCTCCTAAATAAATACATATATGAACACAGACAACTCATGTTCCATCCAAATTGTAAAACAAGTGTAAAACAACATGTTGTAGAACAAGTAAATATCAAATTGCTAATCTCACTTGGAGTTGATGCAGATCACAAGACTCGGGTCCTCGATGATTCCGGGATTGTTGGTAAAATCCTGGTAGGTCACAATGTGCTGCATAAACTTTTCTAGATGAACAACCATAGCAACAGATGCAACGGAGGTTACTCCACAGTGAGAACACACCCATCCCTATGTATTCAACTCTCGCTTGCCTTTCGTGATTTGGCTGGTGTCCCCCTCTTGTCCGCAGAGGGACATGCTGATGTCCATGTTGTAGGAGGTGGAATCTGACAAGTACTCCGTCCCGCTGTCCATGGCCCCGGTGCCCACTGACTGAGGCGACTGGCTCCCGGAGCAGGAGCCCTGCTCCGCACCCTGCTGAGACGCCCCCTCCGCCTCACTGTGAGGGGTCACAGACATGCCATTATTCTCCAATAAAAAGCAACGTTTCATAGATAGCAGAGCATGGTTATTGGCGTATAGAGTGATTTGATCTAATTCATTGGAAAAGGGGATTTTATATGATGATTCTTTCCACCTCTTGGGGAAGTAGAGAGCAGCCACGTCAGGCTCCAACGTGGTCAGATCATCCAAGTAGATACCAGTTGGTCCCAGATGGTGATTGCGCTTTCCTGCAACAAAATGACATGTGAACACAAGTAGTGAAACATAGACATGAACAACAGTTATTTGAACTGCAACGTGGCAAACTTCCAGCCACACAAATCAGAGGGTTTAGAAAACAGGGTCACCTTTCTTCTTGTCATGTTGTTCCACTTTGGAGGACGTCTCGGGAGAGTTTGGTTTGTTGGTCAGGGAGCCTTCTACTGACCCTTCAGCGCCTGCAGGTCCACCCTCCTCCTCCCCGCCCTCAGCGCAGGGATCTATCCCGCTGTCCCCCTCGCTGACAGGGGGACCCGTGGAAACCTCTTCACTCTGCGGTTGTGGATTTGACAACTCTGTAATATCGAGACTCGATGCAGCGACGGTGCAGTCCTCGCTCTCTTTCATGAGTTGCATTTGTGCGTTGCTTGGTTCAGTCACAGGGCCATTGTGATCTACATCGATTGCGCTCGCTTTGCTGGCAAGAGAATCTGCGCCAATTCTTAGATCGGCAGAGGAATGTCGGTTCTCCTCTTTGCGGAACGTGGATTCTGGTTCCTGTGTCACGCTCGTCTTCAGACCCCCGGGGTTGGAAAGTGCAACGGGACAGTTTCTCTCCCCAGATAAAGGGTAGGTTTGCCTTGCGTAGCCACACAGGTCTACGGACTGAGTCCTGGCCTGTGGCCGGACCACTGTTACACCGCCCACTCTGCCACAGCTGATCACAGGCTCATAGCCCATGTCAAAGGAGTCCTGTCTCTCAATGGTGCGGAAATGACAGCTGCCGGAAGTGGAGATGAGCTGCTGCTCCACTTGCGTCCTCTCCGATTGACACAGCTGATAGGGAGCAAATTGAGGTAGTGTGTCAGCATGATAATCTAAAATGTACAGCATGGGTAGTCAGTAAAATCACAACTGTGTTTGTTTCTGTGTGTGTGTGTGGGTGTGTGTGTGTTGCTATACCATGGGAAAACCTCCCCAGTTCCACTGCATCTGAGGCCCAGAGGACTCTTGGGGTTTAACCAGAAGCTCAGAGTCACTCTTGGGAGAAGATGACCGGCTGTAAAAGACACTGTGGTGAAGAAGAAAGAGCAAATAGGGAGTTGAAGAGCAACGGTCAATAGACCAGTTAAACAGTCAAGACTTTGGTTCTGACCGACACCGTTTCTCAAAGTTTCCACAGCGAAGCGGCTCAATGCAAGCAAATCAATCAATACATTCTTCTTAAGGATGAACCTTCCTCACCTCTCCATGGGTGACTGCTCTCCATCTGAGTGAGGATGAGGAGCGTCTCTGGTCTGCAAGCCCCCCACCTCCTCACTTGGCTCCTCAGACAGCGAGTAGTACACCGATTTACTTTAACGGATGCAAGAAGACATATGTACATATATAACCTCCTGTGTTAGCTCTGAAGGTGTGAACACTGAACTATGATAATAGTATTTGGTACAAACCGAGAGGCAGAAATACTATGCTAATGTCAGTAGAAAAAACAACTATTATATGGTCATTTCAGCAAATAATTGCCTGATATGCAACGCCGTGGCGGGCTCCTCTTTAGCAGGACTCTCCTGCACGGCCGGATCGCTTTCTCTCTCCCACTCCTTCTCTCTTTCTCTCTCCTCCGACGAGGAGCTGGCCTCTTCTCTCAGGTGAGGATCAGAACGGATGCGCTTGCGACGGCGTTTCTTCCTTCGGGCGCCAGACCCGGTGACGGAGGATCCCTCTGGGATCTCCTCGATCTCCTCTGGGTTCTCATGAGGGATCGGGGAGGTGCACAGGTGGGCTGGGACCTGGGACTGAGGGCAGTGAAACAGAAGGCTTTACAAAGGGGAGACAACAAACAATGAGCAATGAGTTGAGAAATAGAAACACCCCATCGAATGTCGGTCATCTCACCTGCTTGTTTTCATTTTGCTCCACAAAAAAAGCTTCCCCATTGTCCCCCAGCTTCATGTGCAGATCAACTGATTCTCCATTGATCTCAATGTCCACCTGAAAACCAAAAGGCATGCACGTTTGTGTCGAAGGAAAAAGCAGACGGATATAAAAGTAAGCATAACTGCAGTCAAATGAAACGAGACGGAGAAAGAACTGACGATCTTCTCCTTGGAGCGCAGCACCCCCAGCTTGCCGAAGCGGACGTGAAAGGGAGAACACTGGAAGGATCCGTCAGGCTGTCGCACCACAATGACATCGATCCCCCCGGTGAGAGTGGCGGGGTTGAGGCCACGGTAAAGCTCCTTCACTGTCACAAAAACAGTCTCCGCGAACTGGCCCACAATATTCATGGTTTGGGACTGGAAACAAAACAACAACAAAAAGCAGTGAGAAGATCGAGGGTTTCCATGACGGAGGAAGCAGAAGTGTCTGCGTTCAGTGTTTTCTTTTGTCAGCAGTTTCTCACACCGCCATCAATTCACAGTTCATATAGAAGCCGCTATCAAAGAATTATAACCACCAATCAGCCGAAATAAAAACAGCATGTGACCTTAAAGACAACATAGGAAGCATGTGCTGCATCTAGTGTTAAAATACTCGGTCAGCATAGAGTTCCTGCGTTATGTAACTTCATGTAACTAAGTTTATATTCCCATATCACAAGATTTCTAAGTTTAAGGCAAAGTGAGTTCAAACCTGTACAAACTGAAGGTGTCCCTTGAATGACGGAGGCATTTGTAATGTTTTGACTAAACTATATTGACCTTTGGAATTGGATCTCCGTTGTGATTAATGGGCTAAAGGTCGACCGCCGGGGAGAAGGGGGTTTAACAAAGAAACGTACACCATAAGACAACAGGACCTACTGAAGCCATTATCTTGGCCCGGCATGACGATCCTGAGATAAGGGTTCACGACACACCATAATAACTAATGCCAGCCCACAAATGCTAATTTACCTAAAGGAGTTCATCAGTTAGGTTGGAAAAGGGATCAATGCCATTCCTCCTATTGGGTGCAGATACACAGCACATTTCTGATAACAAGTAGCTTCCGTAAGTCAAGAAGTCAAACTTTGCTGCTGAAAACATCTGGTCCCCATTGAATCCGTACCAAATTTGCTTCTGAGGGATTAAGAAACAACTGTTATCTGAAGTGTCCTTACGAGCCCCCATCATACCTAGACAGTGCTTTTTTTTTTAAATACGAAAATTATGTATCACATTGTATTACTACTTTGTATTCAAATCTAAATGTCCCTTCTAAATGAAGCAAAAATTCTCATTTTACAACAAACTGAAGCAGCAAACTAGAGGCCACGGGAGGTAAACATGACCGTAATATCATCAAGCTTACGTTTTTATGATTAAACAAAGAAAAGAGGACACATGGTAAGAGATAGCAATTCCATTAATTGAAAAAAAATCTAGTCTTTGTTGAAACTATTTGGTAACAAAAGTAATCACACTCAACCTCATGTTATGTTCTTTACAACCCAAAAGACTAGGAGTGACAAATGACAAACTCAAACAATGACTCGCACCGCTCTGCGGCATCATCCATCCAGAGTCCACATCAGCAAACCTCATGTCTTACCCACAGTGAAGGATGCAGGTGTTCCCTCAAGAACAGTCTCTGTTCCCCTGACCTCCCTTCTGCCATACAGCACCACTACGAAGGCTCTTCCCACCACTGGAACTCAGGACCAGCCTTAAAAAGCTTGATGTCCATATCCACCGCCGGAACCAGTCAACTGCATTCCCCAGAATGCGCGGCTGACCCCCCCACCTCCCCAAATCTCTCCGGGAATGTGTGGCTACATTTCGTTAGCTTTGACATCTGCGATCTGCCGCTTCAGAAGCTCGAAAAGGCGAACTAAGGAGCTAAATCTGGACGTTCCACTCGGCCGGTGGGGAGATCTGAGATGACGACGCTCTAGTCCTGTCGGCTCGGAGGGAGGGAGCCCTCGGATATCCAGCCAAACACACCGATGCTTCCTCTATGTCACGCAATTTCCCAAGCTCATACACCCCCTCTCCCCCCTCCCCTTCTGCTGTCACACCGGGTTCATACTTCCCCACTTGCACCGCACATGACAAACAGACCAGCAGTTTCTGAAAGCCTCGAACAGGCTATTCAAACCCGCTTGGCCTGAAAACGCACACACACACAAACTTATCGACTGGGTTTGACCAGAGCTCTCTGGGCCATCAAAGATGAGGGGTCTCTCTAGCAGAGGTGCTCTGCCGACACGGGAAATTCTTTGGGGGGCTAAGAGGACTTGGGAGGGGCTCAAGCAAATAAGTTCAATAAATTGTGATGGGCATCACTGGCTGTGCCGTCTAAGGCAGGGGAAACAACTAGAAGGCAGGCATAGGTTATAAAACAATATAGAACAAAAAGAAAAAGACCCTGGCGTGGATGTAGCTAATCAGCCCCGACAAAAATCATTAAAAACACTTCTCTCTCATTCAACGTTAAATATGAGTGTAGCACACGGCCTATTGACGTGAATCCCACCTTTCTGTTCCCTGTCAGGCCTCTCCATGAATTGAATTGAAAAGCGTCATCGACTGAGGTGTAAGGATGAAATGTTTCCACCTGTGGCAGATTGTTGTTTCCAAAGTATGAAACACATCCCTGTCCCTCCTTTGTATACTGGCATAACTTGAAGCGTCACCACCTCATTAGTCCCTTCTCCTCATTGAGGAATCCAAAGTGATGACGAGTGATGACACTAGTGCTTCACAATCACTGTATTCATTATGTAGATTCTTTTTTTTTCAATTAATTGATTGATTGATTCATTTTGATTTTGTGTCAGAGAAACAATAATCAAATTCTGAAAGGCCAATCTGACATGCTCAACTCGTCTTGTCTTAACTAGAGTCAAGAACTGGAATAAGATGATTTTCTATGTTCTGCACGGCTGCAGACTACAATCATTCATGAACCCACGTTTACCCAAAGTGAATACAAATGTGTAGAGAGTAGTTTGGCTTTCAATGACCTTTGTCTCTAAGGAGGCGCAGGCAGAGGTTACCTCACTCTAACACAATGTCTGACCACTGTTTCAATGAAGACATCTGTCTTACGTCACATTTGATGATGATGATTCATGAGTCGGCACCTCATTTAGTGGAACTCGTATAAAAAATAAATTACAGATTTTCTACGACATTTCCAAAACATGTGAAAAAGACACTTATACACCGTATTATGCAACTACTAAACCACAAACGCTCACAACTTCCGCAAAGGCTTTGCGTGTCACCATATGCCGCAATCCCGTGATAGCGACTGAAACTCTGGTAAAGAACACAAACGTGTCGATGTTTCCCGTTTTAAAACCTGAAGCGCGTCCTGGTCGTGGCCCTGCTGGAGCCACGTATTCACCCCTCAGGACCTCAGAGAGAATCCGCTTTTTCCTTGACAGGAACTCAGGGGTGAAAAATCGACACTTGTTCCGAACAATGTGTGAGGTCCGACAAGTGAAAATAACCTTAAAAACGGACACAATTCTGAATAGTTAACATCTCCCACGTCTTTTACGGACGTCACCGACAGTTTATGCTTTCTGCGCTGATGGCAAGAGAGTGTAGAGAGCGGATTACCTTTCGGGTCGCTTTTCAGAATGAGAGCATAATAGCCATCATCGAAGCTTCCTAGTGAACTGCGCATGCGCGCAGCACCAGTCAAACACTCCAACAACCAATGGGAAAGCTCGAAAAGAGAATATGTCCCGCCTCCAACGTCAATTTGTCAACAATGCGTTCACCAAAGCGTGTACTTATTTTGTAGTTGTTTGTCGGTGTAGTATAAAATACGGATTTAAAAAGTAATCATTTTATTTGACAGTTTATAAAAATCACCGAAAAAACGTTGATTTTGAATGCACTATTTCTGAGAACAGAGCATCAAATAAGTGAGTTAACATATGATGCATAAAGTTCAAACCACTTCTGTTGCCTGTGGCCAGATGACAAATTCTACTTCCATATAATTTATTTGAGATTAATTCATATTTATTTACTCCTACATTGAGCTTGTCTCCAGATTACATTATAACGTTTGTGTAACACATTAGAGGGCAGCGAAATAAACGGGGGGGCGGCAACGGGATGTTGCAAAGCTAAATGTCTCTGGGTTAAAGCTTCTAGTTGCAACTGACCACGCCGCCAACCGGTGGTGATGACAGTACTGTTTTCATTATTTGAATTGGGACCCTTCGTATTTCTTTGTAAATGTTAGGTAGCTTGAAGAGTTTCGATTTTCCAGTCAGTGCAGTCAACCATCCTCCTAGAAAGAGCAGCTGCATCGCAGATCAATTGGACAATTGGACTGTTCCATTCTGCAACAGCAAGAGGGGCGCTGACAGGAGCCTCCACATCGGAACTAGAGGAGAGATGTCTTCACCCCCTGAAATTAGCTATGGAGTGGCCAGCATAGTATACACCTGCAGTAGTTTCTGTTAATTTGGTGGATTTTATGCTTTAGATTTATTTGAGTAGTTATTCTGAGTTGTCACTCTAATTTGTAAATATCTTGGGTGAATAAAGTTCCTACTTTTCCCACTTTACCTGCTCTCCCAGATTAATGCACCCTGGTTTCTTACACTTATCTATCCAGTGAATCCACAGGTGTCCCTCTGCAAAAGGCATCTTTCAACCAGGCTAGTTGCAGAGGCTGTGATGGTATATAAGAGCTTTTGATACAATAGTCCCAAAGAGCAGACACATTCAGACATTTTGTTAAAACAAAAAATATATGGTTCACACACAAAACCACACAGTGGAACTGCATTATCAGATTGACACGACTCAACTCTGTGTGGAACTAACACAATGCATTACAGACAGCAAAATACATTCTTTGCTATTTCTGAGACACTACCCACAGAAATTGTAAAAAGTTGTAGCTAGCGTGGCCCAGCAGAGGGCATCACTCTACATGCACATAGTCTCAACTGAGACGCCTCCTTCTTTGCATGCTCTGTATCTTTTTCTTCCATAATTTTAACTAAATTAACTAATAATAATTTACTCCCACTACCCTAAATTTATATAGAAAAGTGGCTATGCTTCATTGCTCAAATGAAACAGATGATTTTCCATTTTAGAGATAAAAATGTATATAGATGTATTTATTCTTAGAATGCACAAATGGTCTAATAGGGCTATGGAGACGATTGTAAATCAAATTTTCAATGCTCAGAAAACTGGGCACTTGTATCAACGAACAGCAATATTGAAATACTAAATAGTAATTTTACAGTTGAATAAAAACCCATTTTAATGTGTTATATTTTTAGAATTGACGGAAAAAAGGGCTATGGGTTTGCAAAACATATTTATATTATTTCATTTGCAATTTAAGTAAACACCAGACCCCAAAAATATCCTACCCTTGCGCTTACATTATGCACTGGCCAATTAAGGAGATGAATATTCCACACATTCATTTATTCTTTAAGATAACAGGTCTTAACATCGTAACAGACATTTTCATACAGTGAACAGTGGATTTGTGTTTTAACTGTGACATCATCTGAGGTGTTCCCCTTCACGTTCGGGCCCTGGCGATGGCCATCCAAACTGCCTATTTAAGGAGAGCAACAGCCCGACAACAGAAACACTGGCTTTCAAAACGGCTCTGCATCTGCTCACAACTCTCTTCCACATGTTTTCATACTCCAGAACACAGAGCCTCCTCTAAATGTGTGGCCCCTTTTCTCTAAATAAGGCAGCCTTATCGTAGTTCCTGTCATTTCTGCCTTTCTCCCAAACATCCCGAGCAGCGTCTGTGGCAGTAGCGGGCTGCGGCCTGTGCATTCTTTTGCCTTGTATGGAGAAACAGCCTTGTGTGAGATGTCTTTGTGTGGGACATGCCTTGCTCTCCATTGGCCGGGACAGAAAGAGGAGGGACCCACCGGCAGTCGGATTCTTTAAACAAACTTTTCAGGAGGACTGCCTGCTTCCCCTTCGCACTGCTGTGTTGGTGACAGACAAAAGGAGTTTGAGAGGACTTCCAGATATTTCTACCTGAAGCCAAGGTGAGAAAAAAAAGTGGTGATTTTACAACAGGGTTGCACATTATCATTCGAACACATTGTGAACAAGCTCATATTTTGTGTTTTTGGAAAGAACTGAATGTGTAAGAGCCCAGTGGTACAATGCTCAACTATCAGGGCTGCAAGTGAGGTAGAGGATAGAGCGGTTCATTGGATCACTAATGAAGTTACTGGAAAAGTTACAATATCGTTTTGTCATATGTCGATCAGCCAGAAGAGCGACTTGTAATTCACCTTAGAACCGTGTGTGTTTTTGTGTACGCAATGTAAAAGCACTGTATACCAATGTGGTGTACTCCTGTGTCATCACTACGGCACAGACCGAGGAATGTCTGAATGCAGGTGACCCATTTAAATCACACACACACGCACACACATATGCACACACAGCCACCCCTGATGTTGTCTTTTAAATAGGCAATGAGAGCTTAACTTCCACTTCACTCTGTTTGTTTTGGGGAATTCCAATTTCCGTCTTCACTTTAGCAGTGGTCACCTGCAGGGCCTGGAGTTAGCGCGAAGGATGACAGCGACTGGTATCACTGTTTGGTGATACCAAAGTGTGTCTGCGTGCGTGTGCTCTCGCTGGGTGAAGGGACAGAGAAGCCTTGTGGTCCGACTGGATGAAAGGGTTCACAGAGGAGCCGTGGTCAACCGAGAACAAATACAACCGAGGCACTACAGCCAAACGCTGACGTCGCTGAAGTCCCAAAAAGATTTGTTCTTGGCCTTTTTGTGAATCCGTGTTAGATCACTCTGTGCAGAATGCAGAGGATGTCAGCGGTTGTAAAGGCACCTGGAGAGTTGGTTTTTCGCTAATCACACAAGTCAAATAATCTGTTTTATTGAAAAAGACAATCCGCCTCTCCAGGAAACATTACCTACCTGTGCTGCATCCGTGTAGCCAAACAAGAGACTGTGGAGTTCCTCTGTTCCCAGGACATTTCAAATTGTAGATGCTGTTTTGTTTCCAGCTTCCTCTGCAACTGTTAAATGGAGAATGGCAGGGCTTTGGGCCAACAGCACACACCTACCAGATTTCTTCATTTTTCTGGCACATGGTGGGACACAAGCGGCCAAATGGTAGTGGATTGAAAGAGACTGATCCAACATCTGTCTGCAGTGAGAGACTGTGAAGTATAAAAAGACTGTTTTAGTATTGAGAGCAAGTACACAAATTGCTTTTTTAATACTTGCAACCCAAACACACCGATCCACTTATGGAGTTAAAATGTTTTATGTAAATGTGGAGATTAGAAAACTCTGGACGGACCCGGCTGGTCATACTGATTTGCATTGACTATAAACGTTATGATACTGCCCCAGTGACACAGTAACATTCATTTGTGTAGCGCGCAGGAAAGGACACGTCTCTATACTCAGAAATATTTAAGATTAATTGATAGTCACAGCTGCTCCACGCTGCAGTCACTTATTTTTCTGAGAGCGATTATGCACGAAGGACAGGTGACGCTGGAATGTAGGACTACTAAAGCCCACTAAATATGATGACCAATTGTGCTCTTGAAGACTGATATTTGGTGAACATGGAAGAGCTATTTTATTTATGATTATAATCGCTGTTCAGCCTTACTTTAATGTGCATAAAATACATGGATGTAGAGATTACCCCCTAACATACGAATATGTTCAAATGTTGATCCCCAGAATAATTATTTGAAATTGTAGTAAATATAGGGTGTAGTTTAATCCAATACATACATTATTATTATTTTTTTATTTTTTTTACCAAATTACACCACCTCTCTGTCTCATCTTTTACAAAGCTTGTGCTTATCGAGAGATTTTCTGTTGCCACCATCTTGCTAATATCTGAGAGAACTTGTCTGGATATAATAACTAAACACTTTGGGATTGCTATACCTGTTGATGATGTATTTTCCAAGGTGTAAATTTAAAGACTGGAAACAAAACATTGCGTGTCAGGAAAGTGTGCGTAATCACACACACACGCCTTGAATAAATAACCTCCACCTCAGCACCTCTCAGGGCACAATGTCGTACCTCATATGCGACTAATCAGCCACATTCACCTGCTTCCTCCCACCTGTCCGTCTGTCCTCTGTCTGCTGTTTCCCACTTGGTGCAACACAATTACAGAACACAAACACACATACACAAACACACATACACACACACACACACACACAGACATAAATGCAGGACAAGTCCTTGAAGACCTGAACATGAGTGACCGGCCTATTTGTGGAAGGATCTGAAGTGAGCTGCAGTGTGCACAGTGGAGACATGTCATTTTCACATCCATCACTGTACCCGACATTTAGAGCGAGTGTGATTCACTCTCCAGAGGAAGCCAGAGAAAAAGATTCTCTGGCTTCCTCTGAGGACAAGAGAAAAAGTTTTTAAAGAGCCACGTGGATTTAATGCAGATGTCAGATAAGTAAAATGCATAAGCGTTCAACTTTTCTTTTTTTAAATGGATGCTTAACTTTGCATTCATGTCAAGTTGTGGTAACGAGCAATACGGCCAAGCCATGTTGTCCCTGATGCTGCAGCATTATTGAAATCTAATCCATGGGTCTTTTTGAACGTGCACAGGCCCAGAACAAGCAGCCGCCATGTCGAGCAAGCGTGCCAAGGGAAAGACCACCAAGAAGCGTCCTCAGAGGGCCACCTCCAACGTCTTCGCCATGTTCGACCAGTCTCAGATCCAAGAGTTCAAAGAGGCGTTCAACATGATTGACCAGAACCGAGATGGTTTCATCGACAAGGAGGATCTGCACGACATGCTGGCCTCTCTGGGTACACCGGCGTGTTCTCACCTCGCTTTTATGGCTACAAGTCTGATAGATATCACACTGCTCTGCAGGGGCCATTCCTCATATCTTACATAGGACATTTCATTTGGTCTCATGAGGAGTAGCGCTCAGCATGGGAACATTGGTAGTATATATTCTGTAACTAAGACTAGAAATCTCTAAATTCTGAGGGAATTATTATGCATATAGATAAAGCCTTTACGTCATAATAAAACGGGAGTGGGGCATTTGAAATAAGTGGGCATCTTTTGGGTGTTTAACAAAATATTCTAAAGAGCTGAATTGTGATCCAGTGTTCCTGGAGCAAAAAGTCAGGATGTCTTATTCTGCTTCAGTTTTAGCCTTTTTTACGGATTACATTCTTAGTGGTTCACAACAAAATAAGTTGACCACTGTTTATAGCAGCGGGCCTTTCTCGAAGCAGAAGGAAAAACTTGTTTAGTCCCAGGATAAAGACTATGTATGTAACAGTGTTGTTTGTCCTCAGGCAAGAACCCCTCTGATGAATACCTGGAGGGGATGATGAGCGAAGCACCAGGACCCATCAACTTCACCATGTTCCTCACCATGTTTGGAGAGCGGCTCAACGGAACAGACCCCGAAGATGTCATACGCAACGCCTTCGCATGCTTTGACGAGGAGGGATCTGGTGAGTCGGCCTAATGAACCCAATTCACCCATTCACCGTCGGGGGGAGGTGTTTGGAGCTGAACGGGTCTTACCTGTGCCCCTAGGTGTGATCCATGAGGACCAGCTGAGGGAGCTGCTGACCACCATGGGCGACCGCTTCACGGACGAAGAGGTGGACGAGCTCTTCCGCGAGGCGCCTATCGACAAGAAGGGCAACTTCAACTACGCAGAGTTCACGCGCATCCTCAAACACGGCGCCAAAGACAAGGATGACGAGTAGAGGGAGACAGCGACTTTCTCGGCACATACATGCTCCACAAATCAACCCCCGGTTTCCAACTTTACGGACCTTGTTAGTTTTTAAAGAGCAAGTGTCCATTGTTTGGAAGTCATTTAGATGTAAACATGCTTAGTATAATAAAGCAGCTTAGGATCCACTTGGGATCCACAGTAATATTTAGCGGCATCGTTTTTGGGAGGTGTATTTGAATCTCATAGCTACAAGTCTCCTGTGGCTTCACGGAGGGCTGGGTGGATGTTTTAAATGTGTTGGCGGGTGGATAGGCTGGGATACTCCGTACCAACAATGTTTACCTTACTTGCTAATTAGCTACCACACCTGCACAAGCACTACAAACTGTCTCCTGATTTGTAATATTTGAATGCCTGCATTGCGAATGGTTAAAAAAAGATGTAATTTGGGTTGTTAAGTTGGTGAGTACTGGGGGGGAAATAAGTAAGATAACATGGCTTCAATAAAAGGGTTGGTGGAGCTTTTATACTCTACATCAGTTGGTTGTGTGTACTTGAAGGATCAGTTTACTTCGTTGTGTTGCAGGAAATCAGGCTTCAATTGTTGAGGCAAATAAAGTTTATTTGTTGATCCCAAGAGTTGAGATTTTTTTTTCTTCAAATAACTGTCCTGCTTACATAGTTTCGTCATTAACACTACTTTTGGATGTTTTAGTACCTTGACCCAAAAGACAGTCCAATGCTCTTCACTATCACTGCGAGAAACCTCGTGACACTTGACCGCCAACTCTTCGTGACTCAACATCACTGCGTAGATACACGCGCTAAAACATCAGGAGAATACGGCAGCGCAGGTACTCTGGTATTCAGGCTCTTGCCATCTCCTGCCTTGACTATAACTCTCACGTGATGGGTCTCCCTGCAAACGCGATTCGACCTCTGCAGCTCCTCCAGAATGCAGCAGCTCGACTGGTCTAACCTTCTGAAATTCTCCCACACTACTCCACTCTCTTCCCGCATCCAGTTCAAAACATTGCTCACGTAGGCGACTGGGGAGCACGGTCGTCCTCCAGAGGGTTGTGGGTTCGATCCCAGTCCTGGCTAACCCGCATGTCAATGTGTCCTTGGGCAAGACACTTAACCAAATACTGCTACTACAGCGTGTGAATGATGTCATGTAGTGTTAAAGCGCTTTGAGAGGTCGGAAGACTAGAAAAGCAAGTTGTATAAACAAGTTGTAAATTTGCTTACTCGATGAAATTGCAGTTTCTTGTTCAGAGTTTGTATCCCTATGGTTGAATGCACTTTAAGTCGCTTTGGATAAAAGAGTCAGCTAAATGGCATGTAATGTTTCCAAAAGGTTTTATACAGCAATACATTTTAAATATTCACTACTGCAAAAATGGATTCACTCTCAAGAACTGTTGGTGCAGTTTGATTCCATTTGAAGATGACAAAAACATTTATGAAACTGAGTGGTGCACATCATTTCTATATTAATGCTATGGCAATTTGGAAAGTCTTAGTTTTCACAGCAGACCTTTGACCCCGACTTGTCAGACGATTTACTGATTTGAATAATATCCAAACAATTTAAAATGTTTATTTAACCATGGCCGTTAGCATGCACATTATCAAGAACCTGAGAAAATCAAAAATATGCGGTTAAAACAAGAATGAAATTACATTTATGAAAAACTGAATTTATTTCTTTGAAATGCTTATACAAAAAACACATTTAAAGTTTAAGGCATATATTGCACTGACTATTGAAACGTTTTTATATAAAAAAGGAACATTAGTCCCTCAGTCGTAGGTTTAAGGCACAGCAGCCAGTCATACTGCCAACGGTCGGTCATGACTCACAACATGAAAAACATTTTGAATGCATTTGGCTGTAAAACTATCCATACCAGTACAAAGAAAAAAAAGAAAAGAAAAAAAAGTATAATATTTACATCCATTATCACATTGTCTGATCGGGGTAGAGTGTCATTCTGAATATAAAATCACAGACATCGCTTAAAAAAAAAAAAAAAAACATTTCCAGTATATCTCAACTGACTACGGTGTTGCCACACTGGCATGATGTAGTATATGAAGAGTAAAAATATTACTTTAATGCGTAGTATTTTACACATGACCCAAGCCTGACATGACCTGTGTCAATTGAGGTATTAAAAAAAAAAAGGATGCACATCAGTACCTGTAACACAAGCGCCCCCGCCAAACAAATATAACCCCTCCATCAACACCCACAGAGCATCCCTGGCAGTGAGGAGGGACATTTTAGGAGTGGGAATGAGACTTTAGAATGAATGGTTTTGGTGAATGCGGCAGTACTCTGACCCAATACCTGACTCTCTTCGTCGTCTCCAACTCTAAACACAAGAAAAATGGAACAAAGTAATGACACTGGTAAACATGACAGTATTTAAGATCTGATGCACAATCCTGCTATAGTATTATTCAAAGAGGACCTTTTCCACGTGGTTGTATGGTTATTATAGGCCCAATATCTAGTGGTTTCTGCTACGACAGTTTCATGGAAACTACAGCTCTGTGAAAGATTAGGAACTAAAAAGGAACCATTTCTAAAACACAGGTGGAATGCAGTAATGAGGAAATATGTATTTCTATGTTGTCGCTCCTGTGAGATAAATGAAAACTTCCAAATGTCAACTACTTTCAGTACATCTCCTACATTTGCTTTACAAAGACACCACATGCATCAATTAATCATCCCACTAGTAAGACATTCAGGTTTTGAAATACCTTAATTAAATCACAACGCAGGGCAATGTGGGTAAAGTCTCACAGCAAGGGAAACGTTTCAGTTTGAGCTGCAAGAGCTTGATAGCCAAGCGGCTCACCGCTCTGCTGAAATTGATTTCTGTAACAGATCCAATGTGACCCTCTCCCCATCATTCTATATCCACCACCCTGCTTCATAACAACAATCCCTGAAAACCGTACCCAACCGATTGAGGATACCCAAAGCAATGGCCAGAACCGCTTTACTTTTGGCAGAAAACACTGCTTGTATTTCTGCATTCCAGATAGCCAACAAAGAAACACTAGAGAGCATGTGTTCTAATGGTTGAGATGACGATGAATCTCCTTAGCTATAAAAAGACAAGAGGAGAGCCGTGTGATGGAGACGGACGCTAATGAGTCATTCAGACAGGCTCGCTGCAATACAATCAATTTCCCAGGAAAAAAGGGGGAATTTAAAGAGTACAAAAACAGACAAAATTCTGAAAATCTCAATGTTGTTTTTTATAGAGGTCTATGATGTTGTTGCTGAGTGTTGGGAAATAAAATTAAAATAACTTTGCGTCTTCCTTTTTGCCCCGGAGGGGAATAGATGACAGGCCGCCTTGCCAAGGATATCTACGACTTTTGTACATTCAATAAAGTCCAGTATTGCTACTGAAGAGGCTAACTGCTGGTCCTGACAATGACACTAATTGGCATTTTGTACAATTAAGGGATATTACCGCCGCATGTAATGTGGAAAGACAAATGGAATAAAAAAAACAAAACAAAGCAATACAAGTACTCTGAACTGAGGAATGTTCCTTCCACGATATGACATCAGAAGAGTGTTCTTACCAGCAGGCGCCTCCATCAAGAACAGAATATTTAAAGAATAAAAAGTCTTTGTAACACCTTTTGTTTGTTGCTTCACTTAGTCCCAGTTCATACGTCCGAGCTCATTCCCTGTGTCCTGCAGGCACAGGCGTTAATGACTGAAGGAGAGTCGTGGTGAAGATAGATTCTCCTATATACAGTGTTGTCGAGCAAACAGGAATGTTTGGCTTCTTCCTAGTTCACAGCTTCACTCACTGTGTGCAGGCTGTGCTGCGGGCCCCACACTGCGGAGATGGGGGTCTTTACCCCCTGAAGAGAGCTGGTTTGCCGGGTATCAGCGTGAACCATGCTCCAAACACTGGGCACCACTGCTGAATTTCTGCTACTGATACTGCTGGTGGAGGAAAGCTGAAGAGGAGCCGGGCCCAGATGAGGCGTCATCGTTGGCGTAGAGGGTGATATTTGGGCTGAAGCAGGATGGGGAGTTGGACTTTGCGCTGGCGTCGAGACGAAGACTGCGTTGTGAACGGGGGCTGGAGGCGACGCGGCGGTTGAAATGAGTGAGGGACACGGAACACTGACTGGGATTGCGGGAGACTTGTGGAACGGCAGGTACAGCGAGACTCCTCTGGCGTCTGTGAAAGAGGCGATGGCTGGAGCCGAGGCGAGCGCTACAGTCTGGGAGGAAGCCGGGCCGGGACCCGTGACAGAGGCGGGACTTGTGCCTGGGACCAGGACTGTCGATGGTAAACAGACTGGCAGTGGAACTGGAACTGAGCGGCAGGTCGGAGCGGGCGACGTTGCCCGGGTGCCGGCTGGAGCAGCAGCTGGTTTCAAGGACTTTGGCTGTCCGAAAATTGAGGCAGACGCTGGCCCTGCTTCAGCAGGCAGATGGGCTGGAATAAGCAGAGGCTGGTTAGGGCTGGAGGCTGTGGCACTTTCCTGCTCTAAGGGGCTCCAGATGCCTTTAGCCATCGGGGGAGGAGACAGCCTCGGGGCTGAGAGTGGCGCTTGCACCGGTACAGAAGCAGGTAAAGACACAGGCACCGGATCCTTTGCAGGGGAAACTGCCATAGCCTTCTCCATCAGACTCTGCACCCTGGAAGGATCCATGACTTGTTGACCATCCTCGGTCGGCAGTGGGATTTCGGCGCCACCGCTGTAAGCCACACACTCTGCCCGTTCGGTCTTCACGGCTTCCGAGGTCCTGTTCTGGATCTCCTGGAGCCTCTTCATGTTCTCCTGCTCTGCTGCCCGTTGCAGAGCGGCATCCACCAGGAGCCTCAAGTCGCTGAAGTCCTGGGTGGGGAACAGCTCGGGGGGGGTCGGAGGGGGCGTGTTGAAGAAGCCCCCAGTGGGACTAGCTGCCACTGTTGTGCTAGTGCGACAAACCGTATTGGTCTCCCGTTCCTCCGCTTCCCTCAGGAGGCTTTGGGTGTCGAGCTTCATCAGCGCCTGGACCGACCCTTCCTTGCCAGGGTAGCCCGCTCCAGTCAGAATAGCTGTCGCCGTGTTTCCGAGAAGGCCGAGGTCCAGTGCCGGAACGGAGCGGATGACGGACGGGCGCTGTTGAGACGAGCCGTTGGAAGAGTTGCTTTCTGGGGAGCTGCCTCCGCCCCCGCTGGTCGAGTGGACTTCGCTTCTCCCGCCAACCTTGCGGGAGATGGTAAACTTTGTGGGGTCCTTGCCGTCCTTACGAAGCAGGTCGGGGAGGAGGCGGCGACGTGCATTGATGAACCAGTTACATATCTGGGAAAAGAGGAAGAAATTCCAGCATTAACATAACATTAAATTAAAATGAAAGATGTACTTTACGCTTTTCTTTTGAAGTAATCATACTACTGCTACATTTTTGTTGTCAATTTTACCAAAGTCCTTCAAACACTAAAAGGAGTGGCATAACTCAACCTTTCAATCACATTCAAGGTTGTTTTTTTTAATGATCCGAGGACTGTAATTTAAACAACATATTTTTCCGTCATCTACATCTGTACACGAGGCCTCACTTACCCCCCTCTAGTGGTATGGCCTCCCACACGAGGAAGAAAGAGAGGGAGACGGACAGATGAGAGCCCTTAGACAGCTGGCAATAATGAAGGTCTGAGCTCAAATATGCTGAGCCACAGAGAACCCAGCCAGAGGCATTCCAGGGAACTGACTACATAACAAGAACCTCTGCAGTTGCCTCATGCTAATCTGCAATTCCTTCTTCAATGCTGCGGGTCTGCTTGTGCGTGCCTGTGAGTGCTGCGAGGGAAAGAGGAAATGTCTACTACTGATGCAGTGAAGTGAAAAGGGGAGGCTGGGAAAAACTCCCTCTAAGCAGCGGTGTGGAAATACCATCAGATTGTTGTTTCGCTTTCACTTGTTCAGTATTTGTTAACAAGCGGTTGTGTTGGTAAGATTAAGTGTGACAGAAACAGCCCCCGGTCTTGTGTAAAGAATCAAAGCGTATAGTGGTTTATATAGTGATAAAAGATTTAGGTTCAATTCCATGATTTACCACACACGTGTGTGCTTTACAAATACAAAGTTGTACAAATAATATTGGTATTAAATAAATCCAGTCCTCACCTGCAGCACAGAGAGGTTGGTCTGTCCAGACAGACTGAGCTTCTCCTGCTCTGACGGGTAGGCGTTGAAGCGGTGCTCGTACAGCCAGCTCCGCAGAGTCTGCACCGCCTCCTTGGGCAGGTTGCCACGGCGACGGCGTTTCCCAAAGAGACCCCTTCCTGACAGGTCGAGCGGGGAGCCATCATCGCTGTCCGACATCGCAGAGGAGTGCTCCTGCTCCGGGCGAAGCTCTTCTTCCAGAGCTGAGGAGAAAAATTAAAATGTTATTTAGAATAAAGACTGAGTCATAGTGTCGCTTATCATGCGTCCATATTTTTTTTATAAATGTGGTGAGCGATAGCTCGTACCATCAGGTATCAAATTGCCCAATTTAAAACAAGGTTCGTGGTCAGAACAAATGGTTAAACCTTTGTTGTGTGTTTTTTTTGTCGGGCAATTGCTGGCCACAGGAGAGAATCTCCCCTCAAAATGGAGCATGCCTGATCCCAGGGGTGGGCCACAAAATGCAGTGAATGTCTTTCTCTGGGGCTGGGTGAAACCTGACCCCCGGGGCAGCGCCTGTCTTCACAAAGAAGATTGTGTGCATATCAACATCACAGTAGCCAGTGGCCCAGGAGCCTATTGACCATGCAAAGGAGGCCGTTTTCACCTCATGCCTCCTCCGCTCTGTACCGCTGGAGCGGTTGACAAATCTTTTGAATTCTGCATTCCTCGACAACGAGGGTCCTACAACCGAGTTAGTAAAGTGAGGGTGAAATTAAAAACACATTTAGGGCATTTCCTCCAATTTGACAGAAGTTCCTTTAAGTTTTTTTTAATGGGAACTTATCCACTAAAAATTGATATATATATATATATATATGTGTGTATATATATATATATATATATATATATATATACACATATATATATATACACATATACATATATACACACACACACTAAATAAGTGTGTTCCCAATTAATTCACTTCAGAAAAACGGGGAAGCCAATTGTCAAAATCAAGATAACGCACTAAACAATTTTAAACTTTTAATCTGATTTCCACGTATTGATTGCAACGACAATACACAATCATTTATGCTTTACAGACCTCTCATCTCAAAATAACTGAGTCAACAACAAAGTTGCATTCCCTCAACTGCATGCCGTCAATGGATCAATATTTAAAAGATGCATCATTCGTGTCGTCATTCTGAGAGATTTAGTTAAAAAAAGCCCAGCGACGCCAGATTTGGAGACTCGGCCCAGTAACGTTACATTGTGTCACATCAGCAACAGCTACGTGCAACATCTCACGGGAGCTTTAGCCGTAGTCTCCTCTAACATTACATAAAAACAAATAATGGAAAAGACGCGCACACACACGCCAACCGTGTACCAAACTTCCCAGCACACGCTTAAGATTTGAATGTGACCGTTATAAAGCCACTGCAACACAACGTCACACTCACACACCAAACATCAACTTTGGAGACCAGCTCGCTTTGTCTCGCGTTAAGTCATAACGTCACACTCGGCTGTAAAACGATACCAACAAAAAGAAGAAGAAACAATCATCTGGAATAATGCTACATGTAACATTAAAAGAACGGAAACAGAAAAAGGGGACAAAAACCGAGCTTAGTCGCTAAATTAGCCATCTGGAGCGCACAAAGGGCGCAGGCAGGAAAGCGCAGCCTCCCGCATGTCACGCCGCCAGATGGACACCATGCCTGCCTCCAGAGATAACTAGCTGGCTAGCCGTCCCTCCAAATGGGAGCACAAAAACACACGCCGCATTTTACTCGCACCCCCCCTCTCTCTCTCTCAAAAAAGCCCCGCAATTCCGGGCTAATAGCAAAAGCGAAGGCACAGCGTCCAGACAGGAACCTTTTGTGGATTAAAAACGTGTAACGTGGTAAAACAAACAGACAGACAAACACACACACACGATGCGGGCGCCGCTCACCTCGTTTGAACGCTTTCATTCTTTTGTTGATGGCTCGCCTGAAAACACGCAGCTGTCCCAAGTTGCTCGCTGTACAAAGCGTGCCCGGGGAGCCCGACGGCGGTATGACACAACGGCACTTTCCTCCAAGAAAGCACAAGGTGTTGCGCTTTTTTCACCCAACTTCAAATGCCTCACTTTCGGGGTTCTGTCGCACAATGAGGTTTCTCCGTCTCCATCGCAAGCCCACGCTTTCTGCCAAGACAAATGTTGTCTTTATTGAGTCGCTTGTTCCTTTTACCTGCACGCAGCAGCGCCAGCTTTTTTCTTTTCTTTTACCAATCTTGACAGTCGCAGCTGAAACGATCCCGCCCCGTCAACAGCTGTTAGCCAATCACAGACGTCCATCCCGTCCCCTCGGTATGCGTTAGCCAATCACTGCACTCCGCCAGACAGCGGACGGGCTCCGTGTAATTGTGACTGACGGGAGAGCCATTTCATTCAAAGTATAGCGTAGGCATTGAAATTTTCTCGAAGCGGTTAAAATCCCTACGGTTAAAATTATACCAACACAAACCTACATACGAGCTGAACCGGAAATATAATTTGGGATCATCGTGGCCGTTTTTGTATCCCGGTCTGTGTCGAGGCAGTTACATTGGCTTTACGTAACGTTGAGCCAAATGTTCTGGTTACATAAATCAGAAACGTCGAACGGGGACCGCAGTGGGCCGGTTCATAACACAGTAGATTTGGACTCGCACTGGCCGAAGTGGTTTCGGAAGGAATGGTTAGACATTCATTTTACACTTGTTTTCAGGCGTGTGATTCTAGTGTGTCTGGGGATGATTTTAATTCTCGGCCAAACGAGCGGGAGTGAGTTCAGATTTATTAATAGTTAAATATGGCAATTACCTCTGCTCTGAGGCTGGAAGGAGAAGCGCATATTGACATTTTAAAGCTGTGATTGAAATTTAGCTGGGTTGAAAAAAAGAAACAACTGAATCTCTAAAAGTAGTCAAAAGAAAAATGACTGCCACAAACGTAAGCATCTTGTTCGTAGATATTATCAAATAGCTTCAACACAGTAAGCATACAACCATGATGGACTTTTTGAGAAAGTATTGTGCATTTTATTGAATGTTACATCGCTCCATTATACATTTGAACAACCTTGGAATAGTATAAATAGATCTACAGCATTGTAAAAGATGACGATTTTCAGTCAGGTCTATTTACAGAAGACAACTTTAAGAAGCACGGGGGGATAAATGCAAGATTATTAGTTTAATATTAATATCAAAGAACCCCTTTACGCAGTATTGCACATATACTTTAAATTTGACCAGAGTATAGTGACAAGAATCTAGGTAAATCTCATCTGAACAGCACCACCACTCATTCAAAACCTTTGTTTCAAATAATACAACACTTTTATACTTCACCCCAGAAACCCTGACATACAGCCTAAATAGTATAATGCTGAACAGATCTTATTGTTTAAAATAGGTGCTTGCTTCATAAAATATATGTTCTAGTGTTTTTACAGACACTTTTTTTTGGCTATATCCTCCCCTGAGCTCTGCCCCTCACCCCTTCCCAGCTGTATGGCCGACCCAGAGGAACAAAGCACAGATGCTAATGAGCTTGGCATTCGTAAGCAGGCCCTTTGGACTACTGTATGTGAGTGGTGTCCCAGTCGAGGTTAAACACTCACTGGGATTAAACTGTCTCTTCTCTTGTAGCCTGATGAAACTAGTCCTGGAATGCGGCAAACCAAACGATGTCCAAAAGTAGCTAAAGTTATATAAGGTGTGATGTCATACCCATTTTTAGAGGGAAAAGTACATAATAAAAGGTACAGTGTTGTCACAGAAGATATGGTACAATTTGAACTGTAGCCACATAATAAAGTATTATATTACTCTTGCTAAACATTGCAACTTTTTGCCTAGGTTTTTTTCTACTTGCGTTTATGTGCAGATGCAGATGAAAGGAAGCAATGAAAATCAAGTTGATATGAAAATGAAGCGTCACAACAGAGTTCTGCTTCAGCAAATCATAGCGTGGCAGTTTTGACTTTGAAAGGCCAAAGCCATCAAACCAATATGAGGGAAAAGGGGGGTTGTTATCACCTCCAAATCAATGGTTTTAAAGCAGCAGCTGTTTGGATCCTGGATGACTCTACCCAGGAAGTAGACTTAGGTGTGTCCCAGTGCTTTCTGTGTGTATTGGAGGGAAGTCTCGTATAAATGCATGAACTCCCTTTACGTCACTGACGCTTTTGGGCATTTTACACATCCAAGTTTTAACGTGTGTAAAAAAAACATTTTCTTGCAATGGTTAGATTGCTGAACTACTTTCTCTCAGCGTACTTGAGATGCCACATAGATTTTGGTGTCAGGCAGACTGTTTTTTGTGACGAATCAGGGTTTAGGTTACAAAACTGTGGCAAATGGGAAGAAAAGGAAATTATGTTATGAGACGGTTCTGAATGTTAAGATTTTGGCAGTGGTTGGATGTGAGAAAGAGATTTGAATGGATTAGTTGTTCTTGAGACTGAATATTCAATACCCATGACATTAAGATCATCAGAATGTCAATTGTTTTTTTTAAACTTGTGTTAAACTTTGAGGCAGCAGTATCCAAACCACAGTGATTTCAGAAAAGCAACTCGTCAGACAACTTTTTCCCTGCATTCTCAAGTCTAATAAAGCCACCGGCTGAGATCCAGTCACACAAAAGGCCGTCAGGTGCTAACGATGCAATCCACCCCACTGAAAAAGAAGGGGCCATTGACAGCAACCAGGGAACTGACTATTGACACCCTTGAGGCATTTTCCTTGCTCAGAGTCATCCCCAGCTGGCAAACAAAACAGGCAAACAAAGGCCTGCCATCAACAGAAAGCTCTTGCCAAGATAAGAGAGATAACGGTCGTCATCTGACTTCCAATTCAAAGCCTCTGGCTGCATTTTTGGGTCTGAGTAGGTGCGAAAGAAGCATTGCAGCAGCCAAAGCAATGACATTGTAACTGCTTAGCATAACTAATTAACAAGGGGAAGTCATGTTTGCTTAGCAGTCGGAAGAAAACAAATGTGACTGGAAGACAGACAAACAACTGGTGTGGATGTCAGTTTGGACTTTATGGTTGGATGTGTACTTCTAAGCAAAATCCAAAAGTTTGTCTGTGAATGGCTAAAAAAAACAACTGCGTCTTTTTTTGGGGGAAATTTGCTTTATAGAGAGTCTGAAATAATTTTAATGCACACAATATGAAACAGTAGAGGGCTCCTTGTCTTACAAAATGAATGCAGGTTCATTGTATGTTTACGTCACAGTAACCGTGTACTTTAGAGTAATCAAGCACTGTTGCCCTCTTGAGGTCAGAAATAAGACATTTTCAGATACTTTGGTCCTGCTGCTGAGCAATAGAGCAGTTATCGCGATTTCTAGTTTCTAGTTGAGCTTTCGGGGATAATGCAAATTTGAAATAAATGCAATGCTGTGGCTTTACTCCATTCTACTTCAACACTAAGGACTGTGAGCTCCCTGCCGCTGACACTTGTGGTGAATGGTGAATTCATCTTTGGCATGCAGTCTTCCATTACAAAAAAAGGCTGGTCGCATTTAATAAATGAAAACACGAGACTCATTTATTTAAGGTTTTAATTAAATAGGTTTCTTTCAATAAAAAGTGCAGGTATTTTGGATAATGTTGGGGAACAATAATGTCAACAAATTTAGGGTTTAGAAATAAATCAAATGCTTTTGGAATCACTCTTTAAAACTATAACAGCAAGGAACATGTCTATGTGTCTCCACAAACAATAACATATTACCCTGCATAATCCGCCTACTGCATTATTTCAATAAAAAGGCCTAAATTTGTTTGAGTTAAATGCTAAATGAGGTTAATAAAAGCACTTAAAGAAATGTTAAACAAACAACGCATATCCGAGCTGAACCATTCCAGAATCTGCCGTTACAGCACAGACATCAAAACCAAAATGATTGGAACGGAATGTTTGGGGGGGGAAAAAAAAAAAAAAAAAAGGAGGGTAAGACATTTTCCCTCAAAAGAAAGAAAAATAAATTTTCAATGATGTGTCAACTGACAGTATGACTTAGAGACCCTCGTGCTTGGTCATCATTATCATAGGGATGTGCTTTCATTAAAAAACACTCAATGAAACTATCAATGGTGTTTAAATCTTTGACACAAGAACATTTGACAGAAACACACAAGTTAATTGTAAGGAACTATATAAATACCCCTTCAAATCTGACATCCAATTTCATCATACCGAAAATATTCATAACAAGATCTAAATGGACTAATAGAAAACAAAGAATGAGAAAAGTAAGCAAATAAATACAAGAAAGACATAGTGTGTGTGTGCGCGCGCGTGCATGTGCGATGGCCACAGGAAGGTGTTGTGCAAAGCTACAAGATGGCCAATGATCTGGGAAGAGAGGATGACAATAGGAGACATAACAGCAGTAATGTTTGCCTGTCCACTTAAAATATTTTATAGCAAAGATGGAGCAATGTTTAAAAACAGTCTTCATGTAGTTTCTTTAGGATATAATTGTCATAATAACTTCATTAACAATTGTATGATATCAAGAGTAGTTACAAGAAATTACTTAAGTTCATCAGCTGAGGTTATCAAAGGCAGCCACTAATGAAGTGTCTCCTGCTTTACAGTCTGCTGAGTCCTCAAAAGCAAACATTTTAATTTCATTTTCTTTTTGGAGTATTTGATGGCACCAGGACAGGCCCATAACTACATGATTGTGTGTAAAGTGTCCCTTTCACCCCCCCAGCCCACTCTAATGGAATCTGATCTCTCCTCCCCCAACTTCCCAACTTTTACTCAGAGTAGTTCATTTGCATTGCAAAGGATTTCCACTCCCTTTTCCAGGTATTTCTGCGACACTTATCTGTCCTTTGATCCGACCCTAGTTCCTTCCTTCTCACCGTCTCAGAGGCGGGTCTGGGCCTCGGGGACATAGATTTCGATGCTGTCCGCGCTCTCGGTGGCGGAGTTCTGGCGAAACGAGGCCGCCTTTTTAGCAGCTAGCAGGCGCTTGCGAGCCTCGTGTCTCTGCTTCTCGGCTGAGGCCGTAGAGGAGGCGGATGAGGAGTCCGTACTCTTCTCGCGGCCCAGCGACGGTCGTCCCTTACCGGGCTTCTTTGTGGCGGACTCCTTCTCCTCGTCCTGTATAGCGGAGGGATTCAACGTGACAGACAGAAAAGAGGGAGAGAGCGACGGGAGGAGAAAGGACAGATACCAGACTGTGAGAGATTGTCACACAGAAACTGTCTTCAAGGAGGTTTTGATAGTCTAGGCAGGTTTGGCAGACAGGACTTTGACAAAAGACATTTTGACAATGCTGTATTTGTTAAAGCTTGAAACTGTGTTCAACAAACAAAAATGAAAAGACAACTGGTAAACAGACAAACATTGGAGAAAAAAGTCATTTATATGACAAGTTCTGTAGACATCAGATGGTAACATGAGTTGATGGACACGTTGGATCTAACTCAAAGCACAATAAAGGGATCACAATACACAGACTGCAAAGCAACATGAAGCAAGAGCACCTCAGTCTTAGCCATGCTCAACTGCAACCAGGAGCACAGTAAGAAACGCATGCATGCTCAAAGCAGGGCTTTACACTTAAGAACGCACAAACAGCAGCCCTCTTTGAGATGACTTTTCATCCATGCATGCCTATAGGGACCTATCTGACCCTTTGTATTGGACAGGGAGGCCCTATTAAGAGTTCATCCAACACAGGGTAGGCGGTGAAGAAAAGAGTGGGAGAAATGGTGGTGGGAGGAGAGAGGCCGGTTTCGGCGGCTTTCCTACCCCAGCCAGGGCACTGGGCAGCAGGGGTGGGAAGTACCTTCCGCCCAGGGGGCGACTGGGCAGCCGCAGACGGCATGGGCTGCCAGTCATTGGACTTGAGATGGTAGAGCTCATCAAATTTGAGGCTGATGTCCTCGATGGAGAGCTGCAGCAGGTCCCAGAAACCTGCCAGGTCCTGGGCTGTGGCCCGCGGGTTGGCATTCACATTCTGACCAAGGGAGGAAAATGAAGGAACAAATCAAGTTAAATTACATGATATTGAAAAGTAATCAGCGTCACAGGAAAGGGGGGCGTTGCATTTTGCAACTGAATAAAACGTATTTGACTTCAGCAAGTGTCTTAGCTACAAGACAAATGTACAAATACCCACAGTTCTACTGCCTGTCGCTCTACTTTCAGTGATCATAAAGAACTGGTGCCAAAAAGGACATTTACTCTCACAGGCTGTAGCTTTTGGCAAGACAGCTTTTAAATGGGTGGTTGGCCTTGAAGAGGAAAACAAAACCAGAGTCTACTTTTAATCTACTGAAATCAGCAGTAGCGATGGAGAAGGTCCAAAGAAGATCAAAAAACATTTCTATTTAACTTTATTCAAGAAGATTTAGCAAGTAAAAAACAGGCTATACAATTGCAAAAATAATTTGTCCTGGATGTGTCCATTAAGTAAGAATCAGGCCAGAGGGTGGGGTATTGGTGTGTCACTATTAACAAAATTCATGGTGGTTCTGTAAATATTGTTTTTACACATCTTCACATCTATTCTGATAATGTGACATATGCTGCTGAGGCTATATGAAGAGATAGGTGGCACTACAGAGACAGAGGCCAAAATCTGTCCATCACTAACTGGGTGACTAACACTAAGTGAGTAATTTCACTTCATTATAAATATATTGAGATCCAAATGTCAAAGCAGAATTGTGTCTCATTCAAGCAAATTGTGGTTGCAGCACATCACTCGGTGCTGCATTACTGTGTTGCTCTCTGCATATTCATCACTAGAGGGAGCCATTTCATTACTAAATAATTCGAAGTTTAGCCCCAGCCAACTGACAGGATCACAACAGGGTTTTCTTTTCTGAGTCAGATAGAATGCTGAACATTTTTCAACACAGCAAAGTAAAATAAATCAGGAGAAATACAAAAAAGGACATAAAATGTATGGTAATGTGAACAAAAACAAATGCAACCATTCAGAATCCGGTGTCATATTGACATTGTAAAGTAAGAACACAATGAACCCCTCGCTTGCAACAAACCGCTGCATATATGTTGATTGTTAGAATGGCCAACTGATATGAAGGAAATCCCGTTCCTATGCTTCTTTCCTGACAGCCAGTTTGTAATTCAGGGACACTGGCTTTTGTTTGGTCAGACTCCACACTGTTCTACATATTCAAGATGCTGCATTCACTGCTCTGGTGTCAGAACAATTTGGGCAAAACACACGTGCTTCTTTGGATAGCTGCCCAATACAAATATTAATACAAGATGTTTAAATGAGCCAAATCACACAAAAATTGACAGGCTACATGTCTTTATTAGGTCACTTTGTTATTTAAGATTACAGATATGATCTATTTAGGGCCAATATGTGATATCCACGGCCAAACGGTATACCATTAGGTTCGGTTAAAAAAAACGAACTAAAACACACACGTAGGTCATGCCCCTGCAGACTTGGAGAGTGGAAGGCACAGGAAGACATACCAAGTTTTGTTCACACAGTCCCCGAAACTGCTGGAACTTCTGGGCCATTAGGAGCTGGGCACATCCTACTGCGCTGCGAACTTTCCCCAGCACTTTAGAGGGAATAGAAAGCAACACAAATAAATTTGTCAACACACATTCAATTATTTTTTATTATAATAATTCCTGATCTCATAAGGATCCTGTTATTCAAGCTATGGATTTTCTTTGTGTGGCCCCAAAGACCTCAACTACAGTCCTTGTGTCCTGGCTTACACATAACTCAAACCAAGGACTTTCACAACAGAGAAGCTTTGGGACCACACTGCCACTCATTGGCCCCTCTGCTTCTCTGTTGCCGTCAAAACTAGGACAAGGCCTGACATCAATTGGGACTGCTATGTGATCACTGGATTGCAAAGTTATGGCAATGGGATCATTGGGTGTTGAGACCCAGCTTTGGAGAACAGATTTGCATCATATTTTAATACTGACCACTTTTTTTAAACACACAAACAGCATTTTTGTGCTTCAGATCTAAACTGAGCATCCAAGCCTTCCTCCGGTTTGTTTGTTTGTTTGTTTACGTGTGTGTGTGTGTGTGTGTGTGTGTGCACGCTCGCTCGCTCATTTGCTGATGTCTGAGCACTGATCTAATCTGGAGGTTTAATCAGGTCCAGAGTAGATTTGTGTAATTCTGGAGATTACAGGCTTGTAATGTGTGTGGTAACCCCAGGTATTACTGCCTTATCCCCCCATGCAGAGTATGTCCGATAGAGTGGTTGTGGGGCCTGAAGCGGAACCCTATAACCAATCTGTGGACCACCATGTGAGGTCAGCAGACAATTGGATATTATCAGTTAAATAGATACGGGTCATACCATTAACTTTTTTTTAAGTCTAGCAGCTAAATTAATGTATTTTTAGATTTCAAAATCATGTGTAGAAAAAAACAACAACAACACGCTTTCCCTGAGCATTTTGGGAAGATTAGAGTGTACAATGCTCATTACAGGTCATTTTAGCTGACGCTTTTATCCAAAGCGACTTAACATTTTTGCAATATTTGGGGAGCAATTAGGGATTGTCTTGCTCAGGGACACACAGCTTGAACCTCCAACCTTGCAGTGCCCGGCGCACCCTCTCTACCCCTGCGCCACATCGACCCCATCAGTGCTCATCACGGTGTGCGCGCTATAGAGAGGGACTTGTTTGGTCTCATTCACCGCCTCAAAATACCTGGCGTTGGGAACTTTGAGGCGTGGAGCTAGCACGACAAAAAGCCCTGTGGTGGTGAAGGGTGCACTGACGGCCTTACCCTCTTCTGAGAGCTGGTTGTCTTTGGTCTCCTGCTCCATCTGATGGCACCAGCCTTCCATGCGCCCCGTCTCGGCCTGCAGCAGCTTCAGGAACCAGTGCCCGTCTCTCCGACACAGCGTTCCCCCGCCTCCGCTCTGGGGGACGCTGCCGTTACTGCCGTTGCCACTCTCCAGCCAAGGTTCTGGAGGCGGTAGACATGAGGGGTCCAGAGCCGGGTCCAGACTTTCCGAGAAGGAGGAAGAGCTACTGCGTGTGGTGGAGCGTTTGAGGATCTGCCTGGGAGGTGGAGGTGAAGGGGCGTCACCGGGAGTGTCTCCGTTGTCTAAATAGTCGTGTCCGGGAGGGGAGCTCATGGCTTGGATTGCACTATTCACCATGACTTTCTTCTCAAATTGTTTGGAGTTATTATAGTGGGAAACGACAGGGATGTCTTGTGTGTCTGAATCGGTTTCTTGTTTTGAGGCCATGCTACTGGAGCGACTGAGTCTGAAACAAAAAGTGAGACTCACGGTTACGCCTGTGCCTCTTTATTTGAACAATTTAGGGGGTTTTGTTCACTGCTATTCAAAAACAATTTCTTAACCACAGGCAAACATGAAACACTTAGTATCGACTTTAACGATATAATTAAAACACAAAATCGATAGGCTTTTATAATAGTGCATTCATGTCATTGGGAGCCCATGTTGAGTTGTCATAATATGCTCAACATTATTTCCATTTCTTGTTTTCTCATGCAATTCTCAGAAGTTGCAATTAACTCAGAAAATGAAATATTATAAATGCCAGACTGAAGAATTTGTCAGAGAAGGACAAGAAGAGCAGAAGATTGGAAAAGCACAGGGGAAGCCGCTGAGGGAACGTCACAGCACAAAACGTGTACACAACATTGATAAAAACACATTTTTACAGAGGGACTCTTGTTTTGGTCGCTATGCTGACGAAATATCGGTCGGGAGAACAGCTGCTAGGTACCAAAGACTAAAGGCTGGCGCATGCTTCTGCGTCTGCGTCGGTTTGTTTATTTATTTATCATAGACTTTATTGCCCCGTGCATCGCCACTGTTGCTTTTCATCGCGGGCCCATTTGTCCCATATTTTCCTCCACAACTTTGTTCACCTCTCGACCGGCAAACCGGCGTTTGCGGCGATCTCCCTCCATGAATCGAACCCGCTTCTACAACTCGCCAATGACGGCTTGTATAAGTGGTCATATTTACGCACAAAAGCTCTTCAATCTGATCCGTTCTCTCGTGAACATTCTTCGTTTTAATAATGGGGGTATTGTGCTATGAAAGCGGAAATGTCAGACTCTGTAAAGGATGTAGTTGGCGGAACAATCAGCCTTGTGCACTGCGGGTGGCTTACGTCGCAAGCCTAGAAAAATGGCTCGACACGCGCAAGCACGCAAGGAGGTGTGAAAAGGCACGCAAGGGGGTCTTCAGTCACTCTGAAAACGCAGAAGCATAAACTAGGCTTTAATGCACTGCAGCATGCAAAACACAAAGGAATACAGGAGAAAGGCAAGAGGAACTTCCTGGCATTCAAATCGTCACGAGCACTGACTGCAAACAACACTGCAGTAACTTAGAAACGGATCTCAAATATACTGTAAGTAGAGACAAGTTTCATGTCATGCAAGGAATCCATTTAATCACCAATACAACACCCATGGATAAATTACAGACAAAACAACAGTCACATTGTTTTCACATTTACACAGCTTCTGTAAAAGGGAAAGAATAGTCGGAGCGGTGTGTGTGGCTATAATATAAATTCCTCACGTTGTTACAAGGACAGGAAGAGGACTTACTGCCACCCGTCCTCCACCTGTACTCCAATTGACTGAAATTTGGCCAATGGTGGGGTCTCCTCTTGTGGAACTTCTTGAATGCAGTCAACCTGAGAACAAAGATTGAAAGGTAAAAACATAATTGCTGACTCTGAAACTTTAATATTGGCATGAATGACTTCACAAGCCTTTCGTTCTAGACAGTACAACTACAGTTTTAGTTTTCCAAGTGATACCCATAACACCAGAAAAACAATTTGGGGGGAATCTGTATGATTTTGTGCTTGGCCCGGAATTTAAAAAACGGTCACAATTAATGCTTACCCCGACTGAGATCTGTTAATGTGGGAGAAAATGGCTCTTATTTAGTCTATACAGAACACAAGAGTTCAGTTTTCGGGGAAAGACAAATAAGAATATTGTATAAAGTACAGCTGACTAATGATAGAGGGCTCTTAACCCTAATGAGGCCTTTCAGCTTGCGAGAACAAGTTTGGGCTTGAGGCGACACCCTCAGGCAGAGCCATACACCACAGAGGATTACTGGTGAAAAAAATATTGTTTTCCCAGATCCAAACTCAACAGGCTCCAGGAAAAAGTGGGACAAGGGCTCTCTCTTCATTCAACTGTACCAGCCCTGGATGGTGCTAGAGTCCCATTGCCTACCTGTATGCCAATGGAGGAGAGTTTCCGTCTGGGTACCGGTGCCACTTGGGGCTCCTCGACCACAAGATTCACCTTGTTTAATCCGGATCTCAGCAGTTCATGCTGCACCACGGAGTCACTCGTCTCAGTGGAAGCGTTGGAGGTGGTGGGGGCGATTGGCTCTCTCGGGATGGCAATGGGAGTGGGGATGATGTGTGGCGGGCGCCTGATACCCCGGGCCAGGCTGTTTGCACGCGTGCTGTCGAGGCTGTCAGAGGAGTTGCTGTGGGCGTGGCTCGACTGGCTGTTGACCTCCGACCTCCGGTCCTGCTGGTCCAGGTAGTTGTCTTGGGCCGACTCTGTGCTGCTCTGCACTGTAACAGACTTGTAGGGCTTTGAGGTCGTACGGGGCGGCACTGGGGGAGGGGCAGCCTTCTTACACGTGGTTATGCATGAAGAGACTGGAGTAGAGAAAAGAGGAGGGGATCGCAGAGAAGAAAGACATAAGAAAGAAGTAAAAGGTCAATGGGACACAAATGACAGGGAAAGCAGTTTTGTCAAATCCTTGAGGCCTGCTTTCTGTGTTAAGGCCTCAGTAACAATAACCTAGCAGTCAGGGACTGAAATCCTCGCAAAGCGTCAATCTAGGAATTTACTAGCAAGTTTTCTCAGCATATCCATGTCATACTGTAAATGAATACACAGCAGCATTGTTGCATGATAGCTGGAGCTAGGATGTCCCATTACACCTGTACCGTTGATAGCTGAGATATCTCTAAAAATGAAATGTTGATAAAACAGATTACAATATTGTCTAAATAATCCAGTATTTCTGAAATCTGTCAATTATTTACCAAAAAAATTAAGTCAGGCTGCTCATCACATAAGTGAGTGGGGTACAGGGTTATACAATGATTATGGGTCAGGCGCTGTCAACAGTAGCCATTGTTGACGGACGGATGAACACACACGTTTGCTGCTTCATTTATGCTGTGTATCCCGTATGTGGAAACTTTGAGGATTACTTGACTAAAAGCACTATCCTCTTGGTTTTAAAAACTTTTTGCAATTATAATGTTAGGGTGAACTAGTTTTGCCATGATTATCATGCAGAGACAGCAGTCACAGCATTGACAGGAAAACCAGCAGCGTTGGAGAGGCGTACCGCAAATTTAAATCAGGCAGGATATTAAGCCTACATACAAAAAGTGAATCAGAAGAGATTGAGTTTATGGATTAGAAATAAAAAAAATGAAATGGCAAATTACATCTGTGTGTCGTTGAGGAAATTTATTTACAGACCTCATTCATTTAGATGATGAAAAAAAAAACAATAAGTAAAAAGACAATCCTGCGATGGGATTAAACCCTACCATCAACCCCCCCCCTACTTCTGGGGCCCATCTTTGAATTTAACCTCCGATTGAATCTTACAAAGTGGTGACACTTTTCCACTGAAATATACATATATACATAAACATAAACAAAGAGCAAAGCCCTCAGAACCAGCTCCGTGCTGGTTTGTGCTACAGGAGGTGTCTCAAGGGCCACATTTCGCTATGATGACTCACTCAGGGAAATCAACCCCAGCCGGTGGTCATCACGCAGATAGATTAGATCAGCGATTCCCAAAGTGTGGGCCACGGCCCTCTGGTGGGCCGCGAAGGTACTGCAGGTGGGCCGCGAGAGGTCATTTACAATAAATAAAGTTTTTTAATTTTCAATTTTTAAAAGAATGAAATTAATATAAAAATTATTTATGATGCGGCACATTAGTTATGTGAAACATTAGTTGATGAAGCACAAACAATTTAAACTGACGGATTAATAAAACAATAAGGATCTTGCTCGAAACGGCTGCTCTTGTCCGCCTGTCGCTGTTCAACAAATGGAGCGCCCTCTTGCAGTATTAAAGTAAATATACCGCATTTTCCGCACTCCAAGGCGCACTTAAAAGGCTTTAATTTTCTCAAAAAACGACAGTGCCTTATAATCCGGAGCGCCTTATATATATGGATCAATTGGTTAATCGGTTGATTACTGAATACTGATTGTACACGGCGCGCAAGGCGCTCTGCCAAACATGCCAAAGCTCGGTCTACAACGGCGAGATGCTGAGCGGCGCTCAAGCGCGTGAGATATGGAGCTTGTTTCAGGGCGCGTCGGAGAAACAAAGCTGTCGTTCTCGCCGAGCACTTCATGAGATTAAATAGCGAGAGACGGTGCCCTTTTCTCTACAGTAGCTGAACCATCTTAACGGGGAAATAAGTTATTCTAAAAGCAGCCGAAGATTTAAGTCGTGGCAGCATCGAACGGACCCTGAAAGCACCGTCTCCACCTTACTGTCAAACAGAACAACAGCGAGCGCGTTGAAAACTCCTTTGAGCGCGAGCAGAGATTCAACTCGCGAGCAACGAAGTTCACGTCTCGCAAGCGAGCAAATACCTTGCGGAGACGAAATTTTGCTCGCGGAGACGGACTTTTGCTCGCGGATGTTTGATTTTGGTTAAATTCTAAAGGTAATTTAATCATTATGTTTTGATCAGTTGTGATTAAAGGTTTGGGTGGGCCGCGAAAGATTTTCAGATTTCAAAGTGGGCCGCGGCATTCTTGAGTTTGGGAACCGCTGGATTAGATAAAGACTCAAAAAGCCTCTCCGGTTGCCTTGGTGAAAATGCAAAAAGGCTCTGATGCCTGCAACCGGGAGACCACAGAACTCTCCTCACGTTACATACTGTAAAGGTAGTGCTACACCCGAACGCCGAAACCTAGCATCTTGTTTCATTTATTATTCTGTGGCTACTACATAAACCCCTTAACCAGTGGTTCCCAAACATTTTCTGTTGGGGTGGGGAGGATCAAGGGATATTGTAAGAGCTCCCAACCACAACCTTTGATGATTCAGCTTGTTTAAGACAGACTATCAGTGAATTCAGTCAAAACATTCTCTTGTGTTGGCCTTATGCAAAAGGAGTGGAGAGTCCAATTCAGACTGGTTCTGCTATTGATTAGTGTCCAATCTCGGTCTGAGCTTTTCAATCCTTCTCTTACAACAAACACACCTGTAGTCATACATTGTACACCTGGCTTATTCTGGGATGGAGCTTAGATGACTGCTGGCCCTAGCTGAAATACTGAACAGAGAATGGATCTGATGCACTCAAGACTTACATTTCAGTGAAGAAAAATATTGTAAATAATAACCTGACAATAAGGACGCCATTCACTTACTTGGGATTTGATTGTTGGAACCATCAGCTCCCCGTTTTAAAGAGACAAATCCCTAACAAAATCTGAAAGTCTCATATGCTGTCCCTGATTACCAGCAGACGGATAAATCAAAGTGACACAGCGGCTTACTGACATCCAGAGCAGTCATCCCTTCAGAACAGATCTTGCCCTCTCTTGGATAGTTGCAAGGCTGAAAAGCAGCCGTACGAAGCAATTGTAGCAGACCTGCAGTGGAGCATCCACGACAGCTAAACGCAAGCCTACATGCACATAGCCCTCAGTTATCCACTGGCCTCTGACCACCATCTTTGAAACATGTCGAGGAATCTTCTCACTTGCCAGAATAAGCATCGATGCGGTACCAGCTCAGCAGCTGCATTCCAGTCTTCAGGACGATCATCGTCACCAACTGTGTGTGTGTGTGTGTGTGTGTGTGTGTGTGTGTGTGTGTGTGTGTGTTTGGTAACAGGCCGTGCATTTCTCCAGGTGTCACGCCATGCTTTCGTCATTCTGAACAAAATTCCCCCTTAAATCTTAATACCACATAATCTGCTTAGCCCACCAAAACAAGCCCTAAAATCATAACTGACAGCTGCCCCTGAGATTAGACCGGAGATAAAGTAGTAGAGCTGCACACAATAAATGAGCCGGGCAAATATTATGAGCCGATTCCAGCTAATAACAAATGCAGCATAAGTCGGCCAATGGGTAACAAGAAACTGCAGTAGAAAAATGCCAAAGCTTATAGACTTTGTTTTGGAAACAGCATTGTCATTATACACAGTTGCTTCTTCATTGTGTTAAAATTCTCCAATACTTGAGTGTCTGATTTAACACACCCAAACAGCTGACCATCCACAGCTGTTCTTTGGGCTTTTCATGGGCTTTTACAGATATTAGTGATTGTATTTTTGTGATTCTGCTAGACACAGCTTAACGATAGCATGAACGGGACAACCGCACAAGGGATTAGACAGCTTCCGAACAATTGGAGTTTAACCACATTGTCAACTGAACATTCTGTACTTAAACTGGTAGGCCACATCCCAGATATCGGGTGGGAAACTGTTGAGCAATTGGTAATTGAATAATAGCCAAAAAATAAATAAATGGGAGGTTTTATAAACAGAACTTGAAATTCTTGGAGATTATAGGTTAGAAAATGTCATCTAGCAGAGTCCAACATTCACAGAACCCATTTAATGTGCACCAGTTACTGGGAATAGAACCAGTGTAGACAACGCTTTTCCCTCACCTCAACAGTAACAGACATGAAGCCCAAGACTTTATCTTCTTAAATTTCTTAAATGGGTCTGCAATAGCTGCTCTGTAGACCTAATGGGTGCTCTCGAGATAGGACAACACAGACCAGAGAAGCCTTTGTGCCAATATGTTGGAGTGGGGTCTTGAGTGGGCCCCGAGCCCTGCAGTTTGTTTTCATGCCAGTTGGACAAGGGGTTTGATGTCAACGGCGAGTCATGGTTCCAGATGTGATTTATTTAGGCCGGGCTTTGGGCAAACAATTAAGGAGCATGAAGCTACAGCAGTTGAAACAGCCTCACTTCGCTCCCAGCGGGAAAACCAACTCGATACCATACTAAGATTAGATCTTGGCTGAAAAAAAAAAAAAAAGCACAAGAACGGAAACTTCAGTCCACCCTCAACGACCAACAACCCTCCCAGTGATCTCTTCTCTGTTAATAGCACTTTATATATTTACGACAGTTTTAAAGACAACAATATACAGCTTAAACTGATTGGTTTAGGTTGTGGCGTTTTGTAGTTGGTTGGAGCTGGACAATAACCGGGGACAATAAAAGACAATGGGTGGATTGTGATGCTCTATTTAACAGTTTAATATTGTTTGCCAAGTCGCCTGCCGCCTGCCAGTTGACCCAGCTGCATTGTTTAATCAATTAACAGTCACAAGACTTTGATAACCTTGCCCCAAACTATCCAGTCTGCTCTGCAGGCATAGCAATTATTCCAATGAATCACATAAAATGGTCTCAACAACACAGCCCTAAATCCGTACACTCTTTATATAAAGTGTGACCTCAAATTGGGATTTAATCCATGTTGCAATACGCAGGACGCCATGTGGGACCAAAATGGGGCAGCCCTCAAATAATCCTCCCCCCTGTGTAAACCAATTCTCCATTTCAGCAGCAAGAACGGTCTTTGATGAGGCGTAAGTAACAGAGCCACCCAAACCACTGCATACACAACACCATCAAACAGTTTGTAATAACACCCCATTTATCTGACTCCCATGGTGTAGCATCACAGCCCTGGGTGCACGCACAGTGGGTGCATGGCTTCCTGACGTCTGCAACACAGCGCTTTGTTCTGAACACACGATCAGGCATCTTCAATAATTAACACAGTAAAGAGTGCGTCATGCAGCACAGAGTAGAGAGATCACGAAAACAGCTGTAGAGACAGACAGATCAGCAGATATTTATCTCAAAGATGAGAGATGTCGAACTGATGATAAAGATTATTTTCCTGATATTCTGCACACTGTTTTAGCTTTCGATTATTGGTCAAAATAAGCTGGCTCCTCCTTTTCCCAATAGTTGTAGAATAAAAGACACATTAGCCATTCACTAAATGTACAGTAGTGTAGTAAATAATATGTTACTGATGTTATCAATGGTGGACATTGAAACGAGCATGGATGACTTAAAAGGTGGGCGTCAAAATTGATTGTGAATCTCCTCAAAGCCACGTTTTACATCACTTTGTCGGGTGTGACGTGGTTAATAAAACCTTATTGTAAAACTTTTACTTGTGCTATGAAGCATTAGGTTTTACTTTCGGATGCCGACCTCGTAGACTCGATGACGCGAGAAAAAAGTAGCCAACGTTAACCTAACTTTCTGTGGTCAAATAAAGCGCCCAGTCAGTGAAAAAAAAGAGAAGAATAAAACTAAATAAAAAAACATGAGCGCTACAGAACTAACGTTCAGCATTACGACAATGACCATGCAGATACTTACCCTGCTGTCAGGAAGAAGAAACAAATATAACGGCACACCGGTGTCTTGAGTGAAGACTAATTATTCACAAGGCAAGTGTAACCGGAGCTCACATCCACCGCCTCTGTCAGCCGCTCGCGTCTTTTTTTGTCACTTAAGCCGGAGGGAGCCGCGGGGGCGCGCCTGCTGATGCCTTCAGGGACACCCGGGAAACTCCAGTATCACCAAATTATTGCACCGAAGAGTGCTCTACCTTTTCAGCATTTTGATAAGGCAGTGGAATAATAACGTGGATGCTGTAGTGGATTAGTGTATATATGGGGACACTGGGTTTCACTACATGTTGCAAATAAAGTTATACGCTCGTTATTAAATCACTAGGAACCATCAACATTCTTGACAAATCATCAAATTTCTTCTCAATTCAGAGCTAGACATTCTGATCCTGACCTTCTATTTCAACAAAAAGTGGAGAAAATACTATTACTACTTGAATAGCGTCACCCCCCCCCCCCCCGCCCTCCAAAAAACAGCAGTTACCTAAATGTGTATTGCGATACACAGAACGAAAAATGGGAAAATACTGTATATCCTCAATATCATCCGAATGGAAAGTGAAACGTTCTATTATCACGGAAGCAGCGAATGCTCTCAATGGCGGTTGACTATGGGGAGCAGCGCCACCCGGTGGAGACCTCTTGGTTACACGAGGACCAGGTGGATGTGCGCCTTGCAGTAGAGAATTCAACTTTCCAAAGACAAATCCCCGGGCTTCTTGTACTGGCTGTGGCCCTGTAATCAATTTTAACGTCATACCAGAAATCCGCTAGCCCATAGCATTTCTTTTTTAAGTTGATCTTGATGTTAGGTTTAATTGTTTCTTTCTTTTTCTGTGTAGTCCTTGGAGTGGAGAATTGCTGGAAAAAAGAGGGCTAATGAGCTGGGTTAAATTTTGTTACCTGTGGTGGGGGGTAAGATGCGTTGTCCTGTCTGTCCCAAAACGCTGAAGAAAAAATTGCAAGTTGTTCTCCTTTGGGGCTTTGTCCAAGCCAGTGGCTATCAGGTAAGAGCCAAACTGCTCTTTCCATGTCTTCCACTGTGTAGAAAGGTCGTCTAGCATGGCCAAAAGAGGCTGCATTTGAGCTATGCTGGTTTTGTGCCTGTTAGAGGACTAGTGTCCCACCCAGGATCAAGGCTATGAAGAGCAGTCAAAGTAGAACAGTCAAAGAATTTGGCCCATATGGCAAAAATCATTAAAGCTTGAACCAAATGTATAACCAAAACAGATGTGTACTATTACTACTATATATTGCATATGTAATAAATAAGGCATCCAGTCTGGTAACACATAACACTGCATCGTGGTAAGAACTCAAAGAAACCCCCTCATATTGTTTATCAATTTGAATGAATACATATGTTTTTCAGTCAGTGACCTACCAGTGCTGGTATTGTAGGTGCGAACAGTGGTGTCAATATGAGGGGGTGAGCAGCCAGAGTCCATGGATGCTGTGTCGTCATCTTGGGAACAGCCAGCCTGGATGGCTCTCAGGTAGCTGTGGCTGCGGGATCGGAAGCACGTCGGCATGGGCAAGTCTAGAGGCTCTGGGTTGTCCTGAGAGTGGGAACGGGAATCTCTGAATGTGGAGTCAGAGCTGCGGTCCTCATACTGATGACTCATTTCCAAGTCCCGTAGCTGAAGGAGGCAAAGGACATGATCAGCAAAGACAGTAGCAGCAGTGTGGCAGGGAGAAGAGTAGTGCATCGGTGGGGTCATTTTGATCTCAGCACTGGTGGGAACACATACTGCCCAGCTGACTGTTTCTGTAAAGGCCATTCTCCATTTGTGACACGCATCTGATGGGGTCAAACCAAACAGAGCAGTGTGGCAACAAGGTAGAACGAGGTACAAATAGTGCCAGGTAGTGCGGAGCTCGTCAACTCCAGTGAAAAGACTGTTATTCTTCCTCCTGCTGGTTCCTGGATGGGCTTTCACTTCAAGAGCCTTTTTATTTCTTTGACATTTCTTACATGGCCAGCTATGTAAGATCTGTCAAGTTACAGAATACAAAAGAAATGTCAAGGCAAGAGACATCGCTTTGAAAAGTTTTTTAAAAGCCAGCTCCTTCTCATACTTCTTTTGAAGAGTAAGAACCAGCCCTGCAGATGATGGGTTTTAGATTCCGTCAACTGACAGAAAGAGTCTGAGTGGAAGTTAAAAATGTGCTTGTAGCCGAGTTATTTTGATGGTTCACTGACTGTTAAGAGAAGCGGTGAGGGCAATAGAAGCAGCACAGAAGACAAGGAAGCAGAACATTTACACCTACACACATTCTGCAGTTATGTTAACTTTGGTTTCGGGTGGTTTCCACTTGCTCCGATTAAGGTTACCACTCACCTGTCCCAAGCAGCTACGTCTGCCCAAGGTGCTGCAGGCCTGACTGAAGTCATCGTCATCCCACTGTGGCGAAGATGAGACGGTACCCCCGATGCAGTCTAGGTTGTCCAGGCTGCGATTATTGGAGAGCTCTCTGAGAGATGGAAGACAGCTAGGAAGAGGGATCAGGTGAGAGGTAAAACAAGATAAAGGAGATGTGTTAAGAATAGAACGTATAAGGTGAAAAATCAAGGGCAATGTTATAAGTGCACAACAACATATTCAGGGATAGGACAGTTGATGTCAAGATAGGATGACAGCGTGGCGGAAGGGAAACGGGACAAGGTGAATGATCAGCAAAACCAAACATTGAAAGAGGGATAAAAGGAGGATTAGGTTGTCATTAGTTACTCCCATTTCATTTCCACTTTCATTCATGAGTTGTGAGTCCAAACCCTCCCAATCTTTTAAAATGTCATCTTATCTCATTTTGGCATCAGTCAATGAAGCATCTGGGCATGCAAAGCCACTGATGTCAAGTGAGGCATGTATACAGCCCTCTGTACCATCATGGTGCCAAAGACAAAGAACAGGTTTATGTTCAAACTGCAGCAGTAAAGTGACATTTTGAGATATTCCTTGTTGGCACACAGTGATAGCAACATGACAGTAAGCTGTCATGCCAGGGTGTGTGGAGTCTGATGTCCCTTCATTCCCTCATTAGAACGGCGTCCCACTCGTCCTGCTGAAAGCACCGGGCAGATGGTCTTTATAAACTCGAGGGAGGTTGGCAGTTGTTAGCAGCAGGCCATGAATTGGCATTCGGCGTTGCCACTGACTTTACAGGCATCTGAGGGGGGCAGTGCAAGGTCATTGGTTGAAAATGATCCAATGAGACAGAAGCGTTTTGCACCACGCTCCTGAGACGGGGCTTACGGACCTACCACTAACCTGCTCATTGACCTGCCCAGCTGTTGCAGAGAGGACACACTGTGGAGTGGAGACCACAAGGCATCCAGCTCCCCCTGCAACAAGGTGTAATCCAGGGTTCTGCTGCTCAAGCCATCAGGGTCGAGCAGAGCGAAAGAGAGCGGGATTGGGATGGTCAGGGAATCGGCAGGGGGAGTAGGGTTAGTCATTTGCAGGCTTGAGGGAAAAATAAATCCTTAGATTTCTTAACATAGGCCTTAAAAGGACACGATAACTTTTAAGTATGTGGGGTTAGCATGTCACGTAGGCCTGTGGCTTCACAGCATGATGCCTTCTTGTGTCGGATGATCCAACCAGAAAAGGACCCACTGTTAAATGTGTTTGCATATTGTGCTGCACTGATATTTTGACACTGCAACCTCCAAACTTACACTGAAAACAAATACTAGAGCTGTTCATAGAAGGTATTGCTACAAAGAAATTGTTTTGAAGTTTTGAATCCCTGGAGTTACCTGGGTGAATACCGAAAGATGATTATAACATACCTGTGTGCTGATGAAAATGTAAAGCATACCTCCATTCCACTTATGCTGTCAATTAAATAAACAACAAATAAATACACTATCCCTAAATGTCTTTAGCAATCCCCTGCGGACAGTTATTTCAAATAGAAACATAGAAACTACTATTTCTATTAGACAGCAAATGGAGCTACTGACAAAACCTTGTGCAACTTTAGGGTGTTGTGACTGTTCCTTGACATTACAAAACACGACAGTTCTGTCTCGCTTAAATATGCTCAACATCACCTTGGCTACAAAGGAAGGAATGCAAATGCATTTTCTCCCATTTCATGAAAAGGCTACAGTGTACTCAGCTTTGTCGCACTGCGACTGCATCACACATTATGCAATGTGTTTGCTTCAGAAAGCATGTAATTTAAAGACAAGCAAGGCGCGATGCCAGTCAGTCAGAGACGAGGCTGATTTGTGGAGATTTACTGTTTCAGTGGAAACAAAAGACAGCATCATATCATGTAAGCTGCACCAATGTTGTCGTTGTCGTCTTAGCTCGACTGGTTCTTTGTGGGTCCACCAGTAGGAAGGTAAATCACAGCTGAGGTAGTTGGTAGTTGATAGGCTGGCATGTGGTGGACAACAGGGAGTCTGACACCACTTAATTCTATGCTTGAGTCGGCGCAGCGTGGAGTGTGTGTGCTCGCTTTTCCTGCAAACTGTCATGGTGACGCTGGGCGAGCTAGTTTCCTTCCTGTACGTCCCAAAAAAATGGCTTATGTATTTACTTTTGATTGTTGGAAAGGTGTACTAATCGGTATTTATAACTGTGTTCTTAGGAACGTTTGCAGATAATCCAGAAATTTTAGTAGTACGTTACATCTCAAAACGTACTACTATCAAACAATTAGCATTTACTTATTTCTTATAAAATAAGTCTGTTAAGATTTTAATTACTATTAATTAATTACATCATAACACATAAATCTCTCAGATTCATAACTGTTGAATGTGTCTTTTTCCTATAAAAAGATTTGTACCCTTCTGATTGCAGGCTGCAATCTGGTGTTTTGACTTTGGATCCTGGTGCTAGATTGGTTTGCATTTCGGTCACAGATCGTGTCTTCCTTGCTGTTGAATATTATTACATACTGAAGAATACAGTCCGGCTCTGTGTCTCAGTCTGTTGTCTTACTTGCGTGGGGGTAGCTGGTCGCTTAGAGATTGCTGCGTAGCCCTGAGGTAGCTCTGGCGTCGAGCGGCAGATTTTGGCGAGGGTTTGGGGCTCCCATCCGAGTCGTCGCTGTCTTCCATATCCCCCATGGCCTTCACGTAGCTACCGCTGCGCATCCGCCGACATGGGATTTCATTGGCACCTCCGCTACGGCCTAATGTGCTGCTCCAATCACCCTACCGACAGCATCGATTTTTTCAACAATCAATATCAGTCCTATCACTGTGACAGTTAAAATACTTCCATGCCGACTCACCCTTCGTCCAACCTGCAGGTAGTTACAAGTTAGTTCAGGTTGGCAGGACTTGGACTTGAGCATAGACCGGTCCAGAGTAGCTGAGCCCTTCTGGATCACATGTCTCGGCTGGCCCATTGTCAGTGTGGACCAGGACCCTCCTTTCATATAGTCATTATCATTTGTCACTGTTCTTCCCGCTCCAACTAGCCCATGACCTCCTCCACCACCAGGCCCAGTGAGTGCCTGATACTTCATGTCATTACTGCTTTTGGAGGAGCTGATAGTGTTGTAGCCGCTTTGGATATATCGGGTCTGCGCCCCCTGACTGTCATGGCCAGTCGGACGTCCCAGAGTCATCATGGCCATGGTGTTATGGTAGCTGCTCAAATCACTGCTGTCCAAATCGTCTGAGCTCCAATAGCCAGACATGTTGGAGCGCGGCCGTCGCTTGGAGGTTGCCTCTGACTTTGTACCCCGATCTTTACTCTTGGATCTGCGATTCTGCTTCCCTCCATCTTCAGTGCCAGACGAGCCTCCACCACTGCCAGTGGAGCGTCCGTTGAAATTGCCTTTCATATTTTGGCTTTCCAGTGATTGGGACTTTGCAAAGAGTTTCTGCACTGAATGCAGCATGTAACGGATCCGACCAGGACTGTCCGTGTGCTGCTTCCCCCCAGCAACGGCAGACGTTCGATGAAACTGCAACGTGCTGAATCCGTCATGGCCTCCAGGTAGCTGCTTGTCAAACTCTAGCAGACTGGTCGGTGCCTGGTTTTTGGTCATGTGATGTGATATAGTTGCTGATCCACTCGTAATCATTGGTGTTCGTCCACTTAGCCCTGTCATGCCCATGCCCATACCCGTTCCCATGCCCGGGCCCATGGACATGGACGTGCCCATGGTCCCTGTACTTATCCCCCCGATGCTGTCTCCGGGTGGGGAGAAGTCAGACTGGTCGTAGGAGTTGTAGTGAATCCTGGGGAAGGTGCTGCTGTTGGACATCTGGTTGTTGAGGGGAAGCATGCAGTCCGGTGGAAGGGAGCCTGGATTGGCGGAAGGATAGAGGTGGGGGTCCATGGTGCCGTAGTGGTCCATTGTCGGGCTCAGCAGGTAAGGGCTGCGCGGGAGGGTGCTGGTCTTCTGAGAGTAGAGTGCCTCTGGATGGCCCGAGGACGGTTCACAGGAGTCAGTGAAGTGTCTGTTACGGCTGGTACCCAACCCTTTCATGTTGGCGAAGAGGTCTGGTCTTCTAGAGGACCACGTAGAGATGACCGATTACCTTGATAGTGATTCCTAGAGGGCAGAAAGAGACACGAGAGAGGGAAGAGGTTTTAAGTAGAGGTGGGAAATATAGGACACAGACATTTCCATCCAAACTCCACAGTGCCTATCAGTTCAGCCGCACAAACACACCCACGCATGTGCCAAAACACACTACAAACAGGCTGGCTGTAAGGGAAATACTGTGCGGCGAATTAGCCAACTTTCCATTGCCTCCCACGGGGAACACCAGTGTTGAATGCCAGAAGTGAATGGAAAAACAACATGTGGAACAATGACGAGCTGTAGCCAGTGGGACAGGGCAGACGTTATGGAAAAAAGAACAATAACCGGCAGTCATCTGCAATTCCAAACACCTCCAGAGCTATGTGGGGCTGTAACTAATCACATTCAGAAACAGAAAACGAATATACACAGCACAAACATTTATATTCATGTGAATAAATCAATACATGAAATGTTGTGTTGGTGTAACATTAGGTATTGAATCATTTGGCTGTTTAGGAAGTCTCAAAAATTGACCTCGACATTTCTCAACCTAATCTCTGGGAGGAGTCTTATAAAAGAAACGTCTAATATTCTAATCATTCCTTGCTTAATAGGGTTAACTTCCTTACTACGAATGATAAATATGCAGTATGTGAGATTTGGATTGGTGATACATATTTTAATCAGAGCCCGCGCAGAGTTTCAGCAGTTGTGAAGAAAACTAATAAAGTGGTGAAAAACTCAATTTTACCCTCAGCACGGTACATATATTCTTAATACAAGAGGAAGTCGGCCAAGCAGACTCTATCTTGAATTCAATCATTTCAAGCTGCTTCGCGCAACTGCAGACTTGTACTGTTTGCTGTGAGGTATCAGGTCGGCCAGCACTCAAACCACTTTGACGATGGCCAAGTGCTCATAATGTATGGACTCTAATTACAAAAATACCAGAGAAAGGAAAAGCAGCTCCGTTACAAGTGTATACTTCAGTCAAAGCACACACACACACACACACACACGCACTTTACTTTGAAAGACTTCTAGCATAGGTAATTGCAACAGACGAAAAAAAATCCATATGAATGATAAGCCTGGCTCTCATGCCACCATTATTAGCATGCTGCAGGCACCGACTCATTTAGTGTCATTAACGCAGAGTGCCATATCTGCTGATAGGGTCAGATCCTCTAAATCCTTTTACACAACATTAGCTAACATTAGCTAAGCCTCATATCCCGTTGCGACACACCACTCAACAAGGCTTAGCGTACCCTCCTCAATGTGTCAACCAGCCCGCCTCGGAATGACAGCGACAGCTGCATTGTTAATACAGGCGGGATGGTAAATTGTACCATGCCAGTCAAAAGTTATGAACACTTGAGCACATTCACAAAATGTCAGCTTCTTTAGATAAACGCTCAATAACTGAAGGTAAATATACGAAACATGGGAGATACAAGGAAAAGATAAATGAGAAATAGCCAACATTGTTTTTTAAAGACCATGACCTAGAAATGGCCTGGATCCCCCTAATTACAGATTTGTAGCAGAGAATATACAGCAGCATGGTCTGATAGTTGACATTTCCTATTTTGTTAAGTCTTTGACATTTTCAGTGCATTGTCCTCAATGAAGCCTTGACCGTGAGCTAATTAAGAGGCTGAGTCATATGTCATTGAAGGCAAAAGCAGTGATTACCAGCACTGACAGTATGCGGCCGGATATTAATGAATATGCTAAACTTTGTCCTGGAGACACCTACTGCAGCGGAACTATCACAGAGGCAGGTTGACAGATTGTGTCACTGTGTGTCCCAAACATTCACGATGCAGTTGCTAAACTAAAGTGTGCAGCTAAGATCTCAATGAAGGCCTAGGCCAAAGATATATTACAGATGATGCATTTTTTTTAAATAGCTAATAAAGAGTGTAAAAAAATCTTTCTTGTCAGCAAATATTTATGGATTTTTAAAAACCACCAATTTTAGTAGTTTAGACACCAACCTGCCACAGCATCATTTCAGAGTAGAACCCTACAGGTCAAGAGACATTTTGTTCACAGTAGGTGTAACTTGCATAGCCTCTGCATTGATTACTTCAGAGAGACAAGTGCATCTCGGTCTTTGTGCAGTGCTCATAGAGAATAGAGCAAACAAAAATGTTAATGTGTCTGTGTTTGGGTGTGTTTTACACCCTGCTCAGAGCTTCTGGTAGTAGCATCTCCCTGTTACTTGCACCCGGGAGCTGCCATCTGCTCTTCAAGGGGGAAAAGGGGCGTTTGGCGCCGTCTCCGTTTCATGGCCTTACTCATTCTCTCAGGCACTGTTACCATGGACCCACAGGCAGTTCACCCCACTGACCAGTAGAGGGCGACAACACTCAATACAAGCGATCCACAACTCCCTGATGCTGGGGGGGAGGTGTGGGGGGGGGTTAAAGGATTTATTTATTTAAAGCATTGGAGATGTGATGATAAGGTCTGTCTGAATGTAAATTGATGTTAAAATAATAATTAAAAACTACGAATTCCCTGAAGCCGACCTGAAACTGTCGTCTCTGGCCCACCAATATTTTTCTCATGAAGCTCAATCAGGAAATCAACATATTTCCAGCCTAAGTGTTTGCAATTTTTTAAGATGAAAATAAACTTAGTTTCTATTGTACTGTATAAGCCTTTAATGTATATAGCTTTAATGTATAACATTAAAGGCTTATCAAACTAAACTTAAGTTTTTCATTCATGTTAAAAATTGCATTTGCATTTATAAGCCTGTATAAGCCTTTAATGTAATATAAATATATTGGTGCGTCAGAGACCAACGGATTCCACGTAAAATCAGATTAAATCAACCAGGTTCACCAGGTTTTCTGAGAGGAGCAAACAGTCTGACTGCAATGAAATGACTCGGAACACACTTACACCACCACTTCTGCCAAAGGCACCGCTGAGATTGACAAAAAAGGAGAGTTAGTCTGCTAGTTAGTCAGTAATACTGCAGTGCTGGTAGATAGTTTATTCTCAAAACCCAAGTTTGTTAAACCCTAAAGGGGGCTGTTACATAATATCATCACCATCTACACAGGCAGGCTTCCCTATTTTTGCTTTCTGTGGGACTCGTCTGTTATTTTTAACCTTGAAAAATCATCCATTTCAATTAGCACGCTAACACATTTCCTACCATGAAAGAGTCAACCCAAACACATGGACTCTTCTCTCTAAGGCGAGTATTCTCCAATATTTTCATTGACAGAGAGAAGCTCTGCCATCCTGGAAAAAGTTAAACTAATAGCTGTACTATATCAAAATGTCTGCACTCTATCTCAGTTGTCTGCGTTGAAGCGCTTGAGATGCCAGATTTCCAACTGGTTGCCAGATTCTGCATTGGCAAGTCTGTGGGCGGCCAGATTTAGATTAGCGCCCGTGCAAAGGACATCATCCCCTCCTCTGAGCAACACTGTACAGAGAGACAGTTTGTCAGAGCACAGCTCAGTCAGTCAGCTCTGAGCCCATCTGCTCCGTAGGCTTACAGCCCTGCCCTGCAAGTCAGGGGGCAGCTCTGTGTGTTGGTGTGCTGTGTCTAAAGGCAGTATGTGTGTTACATGACCAAGGGGACGGAACGATCGCAGGCTGCTGGTGAGGAGGACAGGTTGGAAAGAAGTGGGGGGAAAATATGTGGGGAGGTGTGAGCTTTGACGGAAGAGAAGATGGAAGCCATCCAATGTGACTGAGACGTTGGGAAAGTGAATAACAGTCGTAAATCGTGCGTTGGGTAGAAGGTGAATAAATATAAAAGTGCAGAGGAGGATGGGACACAGAAAACTGAGACAGCATGAAGGAGGAAGAGCGAGAGAAAAAGAGGGCGAGAGACATAGAGAGAGATAGAGATAGAGCGAGAGAGAGGGGTAATCAGACGATACTGGAGGAGGAGATCTGTGTCAGTCAGCAGAATATGCAATGCATGTGTTTATCACAGAAATGGTGTGAGGGTGTAAATAAGAGTGAATATGTGAGGCATATGTGTGTGCAATATAATAATTGACCATGACTGCTTGAGAAAGATTCTAATCTTCTATTCTTTGTTTTAAGTTATGAGGCCCCGTTCTAGTGAGAGGTAACTGAATAATTTGTCACTGCCTCTGAGTGCAAGTGAGGACACACAAACAAATCCTTGTATGTTTGTGTGTTGAGTAATTAATAATAAATAGTGTTTATGTGTGCGCATACACGCCTGTGTGTGTGTGTGTGTGTGTGTGAAGCAGGCTAACCTTGTCCTAATTACACTCTATCTATTTCATCAGTGCTGTGCTCTGACCCATTTTCTCAGCTATAAATTTACCACTCTCCCCTCTGTTGTGATAGATGACCCACTCGTTTTAGCCCATCTCAGAAGACTGTGAGCCAGAAAGGAAGTCAGAGAGAGACTTCACTGACTAGGATGCCGATGGAACTTTCCATGTCCTCAAAACCAATTCTGTTTGCACATTAAACCGGTATAGAGTTTGCACATTATTCCTTAGAGGATGAGAAATAAAACACTAAATACATTTAAGAGCTGAACATGACATCTTGTAGATATTGAGAGAGTTTTAATTAAGCAATAAAGTACGAAAGGCTATACTTTATTGTCGATAATGTTACAGTTCAAGGGTGTTGTTAGGCCAGATGCCTTGTCTGCATTATTAAGATTAAGAATATGGATTTCATATTGACAGGTTTGTATGAGAATGTGGATTGAATTCAGCATTATTATGTGCATATAGGCATGTTAGTATTGTATTAGAATTGACTTTAATTGAATACATACTGTCAAACTTTATTTAACCTGCAGGAAACAGAGGAAGGGGGTTAGCTTGTTGAATTAGCCTCCCATTAGAAAGGCAGGTTATGACATAACTAGTATGAGGCCAAATGGAAGCTGGAGACATTGTGACCAAACATTTCCTTGCACTATATCTTCATCTAAGGTATATGTTTACCATATTTAGGAACAACACAGAGATGGGTCCCTCTTGCTAAATCCTGCA